TTCTCCTCGTCCTTGTCCCCGAGTATCTTTCGAATAGTCTTTCACTCAGCGCCAATTCCGGAGGTACGGGTGCACGCGTCGGGTGCGAAATTTTTTAACATGGGCCTCGGGATTCATCAGCCAGACGCGCAGCGACCAATTTGAGCTTCCAGCAGCCGCGCACTGACGAGCATGTAGCAGCCGACCTCATCATCTCGATGGATTTCGCCTGGACTGTAATATCGCATCGGGAAGAGGTGGCCCGGGTGACAGCCGATAGAAACGAGGAATTTCAAGCCGAGCAGAGTGCGCGTAGATTGATACCCACGGCAGGTACGAGAAGCCATCTCTGCTAGGCAATTCTCACCCTCCACATTCCCGAATTTCACTTTCTTTTTCGTTCCGTTTTTAAAACAGATGATATCTTGTATATTTCAATGGAGCGCTTGTTATTTGTAATTTTGTACATGCACAATGAGTGCGATGTTGCGGCACAAAGAAACAAAAATGTAAACATTAAGTTGATCTTTTTTTTAGATTTCTTTTCTTTATCATGGATTCACCGTCATCTATTATAAAACGAAAAAAAAAGTTATCCAAAAACTAATATTAATCAATAATTACGATAATGAATTAAATTACTTTTCTGACAAATCTCATTTAATATCCATTTTATTACTATAATATAGGTTAATCGTAAAATTACTCGATGGTAGATTAATTAATTAATGCAATATAAATATTTATATCAATCGTATCTATCTTTCTTGTATTTATAAAATAATATCCTAAATTAAATATATTCCGAGTATACAAAATGCAATATACTTCTTATTAAGAACATCATGGCATTTGAAATAAAAATATTCGATTGTCAAGTAGGATTTTACCTGAAAATCTAATAAAACTTGAAAAATATTACTACTCATGTAATCATTATAATATGTCAAAGATACAAATATTATTTTTTGTTTAGCCAAACCTTTTATCACGTTCAGGGTTTTTACTGCTTAACACTAATTCATATTTTATTGTTTAAGTTAGAATAAAAATTACTATTAATAGAAACTACTGTGACTATTGCAAAGAAACTGCTAAAATCAAAATTGACAAGCAAAAATTTGGGATAGTTGTAAACATTTTATATAATTGTTAATATAAATTTTAATACTTTGTAGGAGCAATCAATGTCCACTATTGAAAAAATTTCTTTATCATGAAATGAATGAATGAAAAGCACTGAAATTTAAGAAGAAATCTGTAGATAAGAATGTAAATATTTAGGTTGAGCTGTGTTTCATTAAATCAAAATAAACTTTTTCAAGCATAACTAAGTTTTTTCATACATAAGAATTTTTCTTGAAATTCTAATTTACATTTTTCAAAGAGAATATTTTAATATTAACTATAAAAATATAATTATAAATTTATATTGTTTATGGTTATGTTTCTTTAAATTGTAAAGAATATTTATAATACAATTGGTTTTTATATAATTAAATTTATTTATCATTATGTAGGTTAATATTTTGATATCTACAGCATGTGAATTTCTTCGCATACAACGCATATTGAATATATCAAGATCAGAAATCCTTAGGCACACAGATTTATTTTGATACTCGCATAAGAAAAACATATCGTTTCATATTAATCATTTATATATATAATATAATATAAATCGGCATTATCCATAAACATGACGTTGGCAATTGGTAGAAACGACAATTTGTTGGCTTAACACCTGACGCGCGGCCCACAACCTTTCTGCAAGCATGTGAGCCGAGCAATTATGTTAATCGTACTTAATCGGTTGGGTTGTTCTCGAGCTCAGTTTATTGTACACCCTCCAGCCCCTATATTCTCACTTACGAGAGTGAAACATCTGCCCCCTGCCCTCCTACAAAATACATAAAGAAGAAAGAGTGAGTGAGCGTGTAATTGTGTGGACAAGTGAGAAAGAAAGAAAATAACTGATATATGTATGAGCCTCGCTCAATTAACTTCCTACGTTTAAATGCCACATTTCCGGTGCGCCAAAGAACGGCCACGAGTTTCTCTCAGGCGGACAGTCGGCAAAGTAAAAGAGGGTGAAATAGAAAAAGAACCATCATGAAAATGAGTGAACAAGGTAAACACATATGTATTTATGCCCATTTGTACGTACGTATTTTTACGTAAGAGAAAATTTTTAATTACGCACATACGCACCCACGCACACGTATATACATACACGCATACATACATATATATATATATATATATATATATATATATATATATATACGCACGTATGGAAGCTTGTTTGTATGTATATTTGCATGTATGATTCTTTTACTTCTATATGTGTACATATTAGTTAAATCTCGATGGTATACACTTTATAAAATCCATAACGAAAGACAAGATGAAAGTATTTCCTTTTCTTGTTTTTCTTTCCTAGTATCCGTTATAATATTCGAGATTTAGCAGTGTGGGGTAATTTTGTAGTTTGGTCGATAGGAAGTTAGTAACGCCCCATTCGCGTGGTGGCAGCATTTCTTCATCCCCCGCACTTAGCCCAACGGTGATTCGCTACTCTGTATACCTTCGCCCCCTCCTTTACTAACCCCTTATAGAGCACGCGCATATATCCTTATCGAGACCATACCGTGAAAATGGAACTTCTTCCAAATTTTTAATTTTCAAATAAAATTTACAATATTAATGCGACATTGATTATATAATTGTTATATTTTGTACATATCGTTAAAGCATTCCATGACTAGAATATATAAATAATTTTATAATTTTAGTAATTAAATTAGTTTTGTTATTTAATTGTAATGAATTAATTCAAGTTATTTTATTAAATTTTAATACTTTAAAGTGATCATAAATTAAATAAAAGTATAAATTAGCGTCTCATTTATATTAAAAATATTTTATCATTAGAATATTCTATGAAATTTTTACATAAGTATATATATATATATATATATATATATATATATATATGTTCACTTATACTAATTATAAATCCTATGAATGTATTCATCTAGTCTATCTATTTATATCCATTGTAATCTTATTATAGATAATAATAGAGCACATTACAACTATTATAAATAATAATGGAACTAATCTTAGAATATAATCGAGTTATTTCCATGACACATGAATCAGTTCAAATTATTATTTCTATTTTTAGTTTTAGTTTTTTCACTTCTGTATGCATATATATAATTATAATTTCAATAATACTTTTAACATAAACAAAAATATACTCATTTGAGTCTATAAAATAGTAATTAAAAAGTGTATTACAAACTAATAAAAATAAAACATTTACTAGTTACAAGACTTAATAATAAAATAAAGAAAATAAATATTTATTTGAAGAAATAGTTAAAATCTTGTTTCTATTTTTATAAATATTGAATTAATTGTATTATTACAATATAATGATGATGTCAATTTTATAACTACGAGAGACTTAGGTTTGCCAAGCCAAGTTATATTATGATGCAAGTTATAAAGATTCAAATTAACTTAAAATAAAAATCTGAATATATATTAATAATATAGTTTTTATGGAAATAGTTTGTGTATTCTTAAATAAGACTAAGGCTATAATATACTACTTCTATATATGTAATCGCTTAGATAATACAAAATAATCATAATTCAGTTAAATTGACGAAAAACTGCTAATTAATTATTGTTCTAAATTAAAGTAATTATATTCTTTCTTAGTTAATTAACTTATTATAAATGTTATTATTATTGTACTATAATTAATATATTTAGGCAAATAGTGATATTAAAAATGTTTTTTTACCGTTTCGTTACTAAAATTGTTCAAAAGTTTATATATAATCATATAATCATTTAATATTTATTCAAACACTATCTAAAATTTAAAAGTTGCTAGATATATTTAAAATATATTTTATAAATTTATCAAAATCAAATTTGTAGAAATACCAATAAAAATGTTTGTAACAATTATTTATTTACGTAGTTCTATTACTTGATTTGAATATTTATTTACAAAATAATTATAATTAAATCCCTTTTGAATCTATGATTATGTAAAAAATATATGCCTTGTTAGTTTTCCATTTTTAATTTTTTTTCGAATATTCTCAAAATATAAAAATAATTTATAATATGTAATGTAATGTTATAAGTTAATATTTTAAAGAATTGTATAAAAATTTAGCTTACTTAATTCAACAATTATTATTGTCAAAAATACAATTAAAACCATTTAACAATCACAAATTACAAATATTTAGAAAAACTTTTTGTATTAAAAGTCCCTTTCGAGGCAATTTTTAAATCATTTAGTTGAAATTAATACAAATTATTCATTTAATTATTAATTTAATGCCAGCCTAAATTTGTATATAAAATTAAAAATTTGAGAAGTAATCTCATACATATAAATGATGTTTAGATAAATTATTAAATTGATTAAAAGTCTTAAGTGCGTTCTAAGTTCGGTAAATAGCCGAACGGAAGCAGCGAGTTATGACACTTGATTCGACCGCTTAAATGATTAAGCGGGACTAAGATAGTCCGGTAACTTTTATTTGTTCGAATTTCTTTCGCTTGTAATAACTTAGCACAGTTGGAAAATGGATGACAAATATTTATTGAAAAGTCAAGCAAAAAAAAAAAAAAATTTTAACAAATATATATTAAAAAAAATTTTTAGTACCTTTTATGATTTTTATAAATATAAAGATGATTTAAAGGGTTAAGATCGTGCATAAATTTGTAATAATTTAATAGATAATAATATAATAGAAATTTTTAATAGCTTTTGGTATTCCTTTATCTTTTATAAGTAATCTATTGACTATACGTAGAATAAAAGATAGTGAAAGTAAACAAATAACATTATTAAACTGATAAATAAATACCATAACTGCTTTTTATTTATATATACCTATATTATAAATGAAAATGATTATAATTATTATACATAACTAATCATTGAAATTAATAATTTTTATTTTCTATAATGTTTATAGGAAGGGGTGATTTTGTTGGAGGAATTGATAACGAGGCATTAGATTTTTCACAACTAGAGGATTTCATCAACAGTGATAGCGAACAACCAGCTACGTAAGTTTAATAAAATTTTAATTTAAATTTAGAAAAATTAAATATTAAATGATAAATATTAAATGATTCTTTTAAAACTTGAAAAATGAATGAAAAATGACTTAATTGAATACTGGCAAAATATATTTTATTATTCACATTTTGATATGCATTTGACAATTACAGATTATAGAAGTATATACAGTTTTTATATGTGTATGTTCTAAAATAATTTATATTAATTACTTCAAATTTAAAAATAATCTTACGTAAGAAAATAGTGATATATATATATATATATATATATTGATGATATATATTTTGAAGTAACAGTCTGTCTATATAAAAAGAAATATTTACTAATTATTAAAGTACATTAAAGTATGTGACCAAATATGTAGTAAATATTATACGCTCCATATACGTGTAAATAATATGTTTGAATTATATTGCAATCAAAATATCTGAATACAACATAACCAATTTAATAAACAACTATCGACAAGATTACAAAATTTTAATTGTTAATGAGTTATACATTTAAAGTATAATAATTTTGATTTTCCAGAAATTAATTTTAAAATCAGTTATAATACTTCAAAGAGATTCAAAGAACTACTAGATTTTTTATTATATCAATTTATATCTATGTACATCTATTAAAAATTTTATGTGTGTATATATTATACTATATGTATGTATATATATATATTCAATAATTAGAAATAAATTAATATAATTATCTCTACATATTTCATTATGTTATAACAATATTACAATAACAGTTTTATTACAAATTATTTAGTATCTTCACATCCCTAGTATGTGAAACAAAAAATTGTCGCAATCTTAAAAAATAGTTTCTATATATACTTATTTGCTTGATTCTGTGCAACAATATCTATGATTTTTTGAAACATAAGAAAAAAACAAAAATAATGAGAACGAATAAAGATTCAGGATGAACGGTACGAATGAAGTACTACTATCTGTACACATAGACTGGACGATGAGTTTTGTATTCGGTCGGAAAGTCGTGTGTTCTGTAGCATGCGGAACGAATCATGTAGAGTAATGTAATGATATAATGACACCGCTAGAGACTGGATGAAATTGATGGAATCACTGCCTATTGCATTAGCATTGCTGCTATAGACGGCGATTCTCCGCAATGTGCATTATGTGACTTCATTGAAACACACAAAATATATATATATATATATATATAAGAGGTATATTAGTTCTATACAGATTTCATATTTTCGTGTTTTTTTCCCCCATCCTATCACAATTCAATATAATAATAATATAAATAAAATTCTATAAGACGATAATTGAATGAAGCTCTAGCGATCTGCTATATAGCATGCGCGAATGTATCATTTAATAGAACGATTATTAAAATGATTGAAGTCATATGATTCTATTACGAAATAACTTAAGTAGGAATATATTTTTTTTAGGTATAAAAAAAAATTTTCGAATACATTTTCAAAAATTGCAGCTTACTAATTAATTCTAACATTCTGACCAATATTTTATCTGATTTATTACCAACTATTTTAATCAATAATTTTCTCCTTTTTATTATTATGTTTAATATTTGAATATTAGCTTGAATTAATAAATCTACAAAATACTATTGATATAGAGAACGAATTTTAGTGAATGAATTTAAAATAATATATGTAGATAATGATTTTTCATATGTTTTAAGAGAATTTCTTAAGTATTTTCGCAATATTAAATTGTTCAATGTTCATTTAAGTTACACGTTCGCTCGAACCCCATTTGTTTAGTTGAGAAAACATAATAATAATAGGCATTAACAGGACAATTTTAATTGGTCTACTTAAAAATAGTTGGTTGACAGTAAGCTAATATAAATCACCATAAGCAGTGAGCTGGTGCATAATGGACAATGCCGAGTGCGGGCGATAATATTATTTTTCTTTTTGTGAACCTTGCGTGCTTGGTGCGCGTCGAGCGGACGCGTTGTGTAGTTCGTGTGTTCGTATGTTTTGACGACAGTCGCAGCAGCGATTTAAAACCATCCGAAAAGTTTAACCACTAAACTTAAAGATGTTAGGCATTGGCAAGAAATATAACTATCCGAATGAACGTAGAGGAAAGCATAAATCGTAGAGAAAATATAATAGAATATAAGAAACTATAAGTTGGCACTGACTTTACTTAATTGCCTATAATATCTTTCAGCGATTAATGAGAAGGCATTTATTTGTAATAGTATTTAAATATAAAGAACATTCACGTGTGTTAGACAAAATAAGAATTCAAATTAAATAAACGAGCTTCAATTTTCGTACAAATAACTTTTTTATATTGAAAAAATGAATGAAAATTTTAAGGTACCTGTATATAATTTTGTCTTAATACTTAGTTGTGTCTATGTTGAAGTGGCATTAAAGTAAATTAACGTTATATATTAAAAAATTAACTCGATTATTTTTAAGCTAATAAATAATTGTTACGCCCAAGAATATTAGTTTATAAAATATAAGGTATAAATGACCCAGTGACCGAAGCGACATATTTTTTTATATTAAAAAGGAAAATAAATATTTATCGATTTTATGACTCTTATTACATCGTCTCTTAAATCTTATAATTTAATCAGAATATTTATCGTTGGTTAGTTTAGTATGTCAACATTCTCTCTAGATTAATAATTTTTTGGTAAAATTTTCATCATATTAACGAAAATCTTGAAACGATAAAAGATTTATAGATTATGAATTCGGAACATTTCAATACATAAATTTTTTGTAATTTATAAAAATAGTTCAACGTTTAACCAAAATTATACTGATTATACATACCATCTCTTATTAATACTTATGTATCTATCTATATCAATTAATCATCTATTTTAAAGCATTGTATTTTACCAAGCATAATAATTTTTCTAATAATTAGATTTTTTTTAAATAATTATAGATAATTTTAAGGATTTCTTTGGTACCTTCACTTCATTTATCTACTATTGGTTAATGTACTAACCTTTTTCTTTTTCTACTATTCTTCAATATCAGAATCATTAACGAATTGAAATTTTATATATTCATTATATTTTTGTAATTTTAATATTACAGTTAGTGAGAATGACATTGAGAAATGAAATTAAGTTATAAAATTTTCATTTAAAATTAATGGAAGTAATACTTTTATTAAATAATGCTCTCTATTTATAAGTGTTATTGATCTTGATAGCTTTTTATATTGAAATTGATACATTTTATTACCAAACCAAAAGAACTTCTTAAAAAAAAATGTTAAAAGCTATTATTTATTAATGATAATAATTCATATTAATATATAATTTTTCATTAATTATGGAAATTTTAGAATTGCTTTAACATTTATACGTCACTAATAGTTTGTTTAATATTTATTTAATTAGCATGCAGAGCAACTAAAATCACCTAATTGATTCTATATTATATTATTCATTATATTATAATATTAGTAGCATTAATTTTGCAACATTGCAGGGTCGACATTAATGATGATTTCTCCTTCCAGCGTACGATATATACATCATTGAAATACAACTTTATACGCACGATAAATGCACACACAATAACAATATCCTTAGTATGAATGATAAACTAATTAAATATAACATACTGAAAGCTCAAACAATCTTTTTGATAAAATATATATATATATATATTTTTATATTATTTAACATGATTCAAACTATAAATTTATACATAATCGTAATATATGTTTGTAAATTTATTACTATTTAAAAGAAAATTTCAAAACGATTTAAGTAATTATAAAAAAATAATAATGGATTTTAATAAACTTTATTAAAGATATTATGATTGTAAAAAATATGACAATATAAGTTATTTTTAATAAATTGTATGTAATGAATAATTACATGTTTAAGAAATACTTTAAAACAGTCGATATATTATTTTATTTAAGATATAAAATGAATATTTAATAAAGTTCATTAATAAAAGTGTAAAAACTTCCAAAATACATTAGTTTTTTTTTTATAACAACATTGCTACAGTGTTGAAATAATTATAATTGTAATTGTAATGTATATATAAAGTTATTCAAAGGATTTAAAAAATATTTTTAATATTTACACATAATTTTAGAAAATAAAGTGTTTTTAATATGTTTTTAATATGTTTACAAAGTTCAATTATGCAAAAATACTCAATAATATTTAGTGAAATTATATATTATATTACGTTTCTGTTTATACGTATAGTCGTTTGTGTATAATTTTATTTATATATTTTATTTTTTTCCTTCTCAATTATGTCAATATTCGGATAACGTTCCCCTAAATTAATTAGTTTTAAAGAAATTAATTGTCTATCGTATCAACATGACGTTGTACATTAATGTCTCTTTCTTATAAATGGCTCTAGATACTTCGCAGACACTCTTGCTCACAATGAGAACAGCCCTCCAGCAAATCATGGAACCAGCATCGAGGTGACGACGACCAGCCAACAACTTCCACCGAGGCTTCCCTCACCAATTACGCAGAGTCATCCAGTCACGACCACCTGCAGTCCCGTCAACACGGCAATACCACCCGGACCAACTTATAAAGACCCTCAATCTTATGTACTTCCGTAAGTCTATGTTGTATAAATTATCTACGTAATTTAACGCTCGATCTATTTCAAAAGTATCTTGAAACTTTCGATTTTTCAAACTTCTCTCAAACTATTTTTCTTTTTTTCTTTTTTTTTTTTTTTAAGGATCATAATCGTTTTGAAAAATTGAACAACATTTTAAACAACAAGATTAAATTACTCGTATTTGCTCTCAAAGTTCAAAATTTTATAATAAAATATTTAGGTACTTGATTGATTATCAATAAATGATCTCTATTGATGAACCTTTTAAAATTATAGTATTTAGTAGTAAAAGGAAAATTTTTTAACTTAGAGCTACCAATATTTAATTACTATTTCATCAATCTAACACTCGCGTTAGATCGTTAAATTCTTCTTTTTGGTTTTGTGGTTTAAGGCAACCGCAATGATCCAAGATGGTATTAAATATTTTGGCAAAAATTTTATTCAAAATTTCAATGTAAAGGTACCTACGTAAGTATGTGCTGTAAATACAAACAAAATTAAAAAAAAAAATATATATATATATAATAGAATATAATATCAGAATAGTGTAAGTAATACATGGTTAGAACAATATTTAATTTTGAAATTGTAAAGTATTTTGAGTTTTCTAAACTAATAGCATTACCAATCTTGACCAATATAAGAATGTATTCAATAATATTAACTATATCTTATATAATTGCACAAATTTCAATTATTCATTCAGCATAATTTAATGATGATACACTCAAACTTTAATTTTAGATTTAATAACTTTAATTTGCTTGAAAATAGTATTGAAACCCAAATTTTTTAAAATTATGCATTTGATAATTTAGGATTAGTTAATTTTAAAGAAAAAAAAAAAAAAAAAAACTTATACGTGGTATTCCATCAAGTCTGACATCGTAACCGAGATTTTTTCAATAACACAAATGCACTTTCCCATATGTACAGACATGGTCTCCCAGATAGTCCACCAGATAGCGGTAGCGAACCTCCATATTCTCCACCTGGACATCACGAGGCACGTCATGTACATTCACCGCGTAAGTTAAAAGCTTTCTTGTTTAATTTTAGGAACGTATATAAATATTATTGTTGAATAATAAATCCATCCATTTCAAAAGTAGAACAACAATTTCATTTAATTTGATAAACAACAATTTTCGTAGCGAAATGAAAATTCTATTTCATTTCCGCTTTATAAGGTACTTTTTTATAATAATGATTATTATCTTACTTGGGCCATTTCTATGTTCTATATTTGCCAATACATCAATTAATTACTCAATAAAAACTTCTTCCACATAATAATAATGGGTTGAAAATTATAAGTAAGTGGTTCGATATATAACTATTATTTACATAAAAGTATGAATTTTCTTAATTAGAAAGTATAGACCATCAGCAAACTAAATATATATCAAATGACTACTGCTTTTCTAAATTTATTGTTTCAATCCATACTGTTGTTCGCACTGTCGTAGAATTTAACTTGCCATCTCGGAAAAATATACAATATGCTCACGTTATATCGATAACATATATTGGCAATAAACTGCAATGAAAAAACATTTTAAACGATGTCTTGTCTGGCACAGATCAGAAGGGCAGTCTGCCGGCAGAGGTGTTACTGCAACAGCATCAGGGTAACACCACGAGCTACGTACCATCCCTATTACCGCCGTCACCTCGTGGAATAAACGGATCGCAAGAGCCGCTATTACTATCGCATCCTGTGCTCACACCTCTTCTTACGACGAACACTGCAGTCCTTTCTGTCCAACAGCAGCAACAGACGCAACAGCAACAACAGCAACAACAACAATTGGCTGCACCGTTGCTGCCTCTGTCACACGAACAACACAATGCCAATGGCATTACAACATTGTACACATCTCTACAGTCTGCACCCAAAAAGCGGAAACATAGCCAGGATGGGCTTGTACACGTCAAGCAGGTATATAACGTATGAGACATTTTTTAACTACTTACCTAGATTTAATATACTAATACATTATTCTGTCAATCTATGAAATAAAAAAAGGCACGCTCCATTTTATTACCGATATTTTAGAACTTTAGATATATAGTTAAGCTTTTTATTACTTTTACCTTATAAATTGCACCTTCTTTCTTACAGAAAATTTCGCTCGTACGCACACGCGCACACGTATATTAATCCATAGACATTAAGCAATCATTTTAGTAGAAACAAAGTTTTTTTTGGTTAATTGTACGCGAATAAAGGCAAATAATATTATAAAAAAAAAAAAAAAAAAAAAAAAAAAAAAAATTGATAGAATTATACATAAACTATTGTTGTTAATTATTAATTGATTTTGCAATTTTCTGTAATTGAAGCATTAATATATGAACGGTTATGACTATTATCTTCTATGCAAGATAATATCATATAATGTCTACAACAATTTCACGCATTATTTTAAATTTAAATTGTCAATTTACATTCTGTTCGAAACTTTATGAGAAAATATACTAAAGTTTATATATTTGCGAGGCAAAAAGTTCAGAAAAAAAGTTTTATCTTACAACTGCATTGTCTCTAAATATATGTTATATTATATTTTTATAAGCAAATTTGTTTTAAATTTAAAAAAATTAATTTTCATCTATCGGCTGTATTTATTTTTTTCAAATAAATATTTCAATTTCAATTATTAAATAAGCATATTTTTTTAATTCATAATTTTTACTATTCCTCTGTAAATTTAATTCATATTAATATTCAATCGTATATATAAGAATACAATTAATAAACAGATAATTTCACATAATATATTTTTTTAAATAATTTAAGTCGCTTTGATTTATGGATTTATGATATATGAAGTATATCGCATTTCAGAATATAAAATATAAAGTGTCTCCATTTGAAAATATATATTTAACGTTTTAAGAATGATTTTTTTTTTTAAATTTATTAACAAAAACTAGTCAAATTTTCTATAAAATTTTTTGCGCGACAGTATCTCCAACTTATCAGAAGACACATGAACTGCTTGAGGTTTCAGTGTTTGTTAAAGTAAACACACAAATTAAATTATTGCGCTGTTTATAAAAATATCAGTCATCTGATCAAATAATACATCAATATCACTAAGTACGAAATCGTCTCACGTAAATATGATTTTTACTTAAAAAATGTTGCAACTTCTTAATAAAAATAATTATTTAAGATACTTTGATAATGATTGTTAAAATAGTATAAAAAATCGATGTTAAACTCTGTTTTATAGTATTCTATATATGTTAATTATTTTGTAGTTCTGTTATAAGATCCTTATTCGATATGATTACATTAACAAATATCTAAAAAATATAATAAAAGTGAAAACTTATATGTTTATCAATTCAATGTTATTATATATTATCAGGAACCAGAATTGGGTACTGTCGAACACAGCTGCAGCAGCAGCAGCACAGGTGTCGACAACGATGAAACAAATGGCGATAATAATTACTCGGACGCTAGTTATCAATGTATTCGTTTCCATCCTTTTCAACAAACTTCTTGGCATGCTCTATGTGACCATAATTTAAAAGAACTTCCAGTCCCACATTATAGAGTGGATGCTGATAAAGGATTCAATTTTAGTAATTCAGATGATGCATTTGTATGTCAGAAAAAGAATCACTTTCAAGTTTGTATTATCTTTAATATCATTCGATGAAATAGTAATATTAATATCTTAAAGTATTCATTTCAAATTAACAAATACCTATAGATTACATGCCATGCGCAATTGCAAGGAGAAGCTGTGTTTGTAAAAACCGTTGAAGGTTTGAAAAAAATCAGTAGTTTTCAACTTCATTTTTATGGTGTAAAGGTTGAATCTCCAACGCAAACTATCAGAGTCGAACAAAGTCAAAGCGATAGGAGTAAAAAACCATTTCACCCAGTTGTGTAAGTATTACAGCTATAGCCATTTTATATTTTATATTTTGTGCTGAGTCACTTTGAAAATATTCAAGTTTTAAATATTTAGTAATATTGTTTAAATAAATTTAAAAAAAAAACCAATATGCACATTTATAATACCTTCTTCGAATATTTAATGATTCAATCGTCATAAAAGTCAAGCATATAAATATATATATAAATATATATATATATATATATATATATCAATACATGATTTTCAAATAAACTTCATAGGTACTAATTTTATGCGAATAACTTCATTTCGTCCACGAGTAAGATTGATATTCGGTAAAATTGTTTTACAAGAAATTCAAACGAATCTTTTTAAACGTCTAAATTTACTAAAGTGAACATTAATTTGTTAGCACTTGCTAATAATATCCATAATATACAAAAATCAATTTTATATTTTAATATAAGTACGAATTACTCATAAACATTAGTATTCGTCTATAAAATGAAAACGCATATACATTAAAATCTAAGGCTTTTCAGAGTTGAAATGGGTGGTGAACGTGTAACAAAAGTGACCGTCGGTCGTTTACACTTTAGTGAAACGACTAGCAACAATATGAGGAAAAAAGGCAAACCAAATCCAGACCAAAGATACTTTTATTTGGTCGTTGGTTTACATGCTCACACAGCCGATCAAGCCAATTATCAAGTAGTTGCACATGCTTCTGAGCGGATAATCGTCAGGGTAGGAAAAGTAACAAATTTTCTAAATATTCTAAATATTCATTTGACATTGTTGATATTTATCGCTCATTAGTTTTTGTTCGCCAATTTTTATAGTTAGGACAATCATTATCATATGTATATAAAATATTTAAGTATGAAAATAATAAAATAATTGTATTAAGTAGATCAAATATTTATTACAGTGGATGCCAACAAAGTAAATAATTTGAATTATGTAGATGTATAACAGTATCCATCCAGACGCGTATTAATAATTAAAAAATAATTAATAAGACTAATAAAAGTGAACATTATTTTAAGGAGAATGTGGTTTTCAGGCAAGCAATCCGGGTCAATTCGAGTCCGAAGGAAGCACAGTGGGATCTGAAAGTACTTGGCAAAGGGGAGCAGCACCAGATAGCGTCTATCACGCCGGTCGAGTTGGTATAAACACCGATAGACCCGATGAAGCTCTTGTGGTTCATGGTAACGTTAAGGTAAATAGTAACTGTTTATTAATGTTGATTTAAAGCTGCATATTTAGAGAGTTTTCAATTTATTTGAGAATAACATTTTGATTTTACTTTAATGTCTATGTCAATTATCTTTAACAATTGGCACGTTTGCACGTCCTGGATTGCTTTACATATAGATGAAGACTTTAAGGACGATTATATTACGTTATTATATTAACAAGAAAATATCTATATTAAAATTGTAATATAATGATAATCGTTTCTTAATAATGTAATGACAAAAACGTTTCTTTAATAATGTTGCAAAATAAATCATAATGAAATTCGTCCAAATTATTTGAATACATTTTGAAATTCGAAAGCCTTATTATCAGTCTGTAGATTCTAAATCAAAGCATCGTCCACAACATGAAGAATTGCATTGTAACTTAAGATATCTTGAGTTTTTATGACATCAATTTCGAAGAGAAATAATCATCTGTTTTATAAAATAAATATAAGATTTTTTAAATCCTAAATAAATTGTAAATACTCATATTTTTCTATTATGAAATAAAATTATAGATTATTTGGCATTTTCCGATTATGGATTATGGAATTCGCATTGAATCATATTTCATGGGAACCTTAATTAGCTCGTGTCTTTAAAATTACATTTTTTTCAACCGTAGGTAACTGGACATATTGTTCAACCGAGCGATGCAAGAGCAAAACAGAATGTACACGAGCTCGATACGCGAGAACAACTAAGAAATGTACAACAACTGAGAGTCGTTCGATATCGGTACGCTCCGGAGTTTGCTCAACTCTCGGGTCTAGGCATTAAAACGCACGAAGACACTGGTGTTATTGCTCAGGAAGTCCAACAAATTCTACCGGAAGCTGTATTACCAGCTGGTGACATCGTTCTGCCAAATGGTCAGAGAATAGATAACTTCTTAGTCGTCAATAAAGAGCGAATTTTTATGGAAAATATCGGTGCTGTGAAAGAACTATGCAAGGTACATTATATTACAATCCTATATATTTAATTATTTATCATTCTGTGATGAAGAAATTTAAATGATAATTGTAATTAACACTTTATTATTATTATACTTAAAAAGCAAAATAAGTATTAGCTATTTAAGAGTTTTAACAATTCCATACATAATGTAATGATGAATCGTAAGTAAAATGAATACTAAATTTTTCAGGTAACGGATAGTTTGGAAACCAGAATAGATCAATTAGAAAGAATAAATAAGCGATTGGCTAAATTAAAGAGAGGCGATAGTCTTAAGAGCTCTATTAGTTCAGTATCTAACATATCAAACAGTAAATACTCGTCAATAAATGCAAAAACTTCAATAACGAATAGATTGAGGAAATCTGAGCGTAACGAGGAACTTTTTTGCAGCAACAAATTCATACAGATTATTATCGTTATTTTGATTCTTATAATGGCATTCTGGTAAATATATTCAATTATATTTATCGCTATTACTTTAAACAGAAATTTTATATTACAATAAAAGGCCGTTACCAATTCGCTTTCAAACTTTACATATCTCTTATAATGGTTAAGCAGTTGATAGTTTAATAATAATTTAATAATCGAATTATTATAAAATTTTCTTTTAAAGCAGATAGTTTAAATTACTCTTTCCTTCAACACGTTAATAGAATATAACTTTAAATTGTTGAGAAATAAGATAATAACTTTAAATTATTGAAAATAAGTAACACCAAGTGAAATGTGAATATTGAAAACTGCAATCAATTTTCATACACCGATTAAGCTCTCTGTTCTAAACTTCTTCTAGCCTCGTAGCTATGGCCAGCTTGTACTTCTTAGAGTACCAAAAACGCAGTAGTATGGAATGGACGGCAATGGCCGGCAGTGGTATTCTCGCGGTTGGACCATCGCATAGCAATACTGTTCAAATACCGGTAAGCCCGGATTTCAAATCGAAGCCATTACCACGAACTACGCCACCGTCTTATACGAGGCATGGAATTCACTTGAGCACGATCCTAGATCACAACACTCCTAAAAACGATGCTTTAACGACTCATCCGCCCAATGCCAAGCACCACCTATATTCACAAGAGATTACTTGGTATCCTATGGGACATCCAGGCTCACCTCCCAAGGTCGATAAAAAGTAAGTCATACTTTATTTATAAAAGGTGGCCGATTTTAGTATATTTAAGGCATTACATATTACACGCTACATTACATTGTTATTTAATATCAAGTAAAACATCATAATTAATTATGGTGATATTAAAAGTTAAATTATTGATAAATATTTTCCTTAAACGTCAATGAATCGGCTTTTGTTAGTTAAAAGATTCTGCAACATACTGAATAAATAAATAAATAAATGTATATATATATATATATATATATATATATATATATATATATATATATATATATATATATATATATATATATTCTTTAAAAATATTTCCAAATGCATAATAAGAAATTAATTGTGCAGTGACTTCCCTAGTAATTGGTTGAGTAAAAATGGACCGGGAGCTGTTCCAAGCAATGTCGATGAAAATGATCAAGCCACGGATGTTGACTCTCCTCCTACTACTAAAGGACCTGTTGCTTTAGGAAAACCAGTAGAATGCTCTTCGCATTTTACGGAACTTGAAAGCCCTTGTCAGGTGATTTTTTTCACAATTGCTTTAATAAAATACTATTTCACTCTAACATGAAATTGGACAAATTAATCATTGTTATTTTTATACCTTCATTAGTATATCTGATAATTTTTAGAGATCATTTGTTCGGAATAATATTTTTTATTAACTTTAAAAAGATTTAAAATATGTAAGAAAATTTTTTCATTCTAAAATTATCAATATAATAAAATTGTATAAAATATGTTAATCATGATCGATATATTTATAAAAATGTTATTCAATTATCAATTCTTATTTAATTTGCTGTAAACATATTATTTTGTAATATCCTTTTAAATAGGTGTTTTTAAATACAAGGATATGAATCAATCAAACAAATCTTTAAATAATATTTACGTTAGCTTTTATTTATAGGTATTCTGTTGTACTACTGAGATTCATCAATTGGAAAATCCTCAACACGATCATCTTTCAGAAAAGAAATCAATGTGTAAATAAATAATACGTACTTATATAAAAATGATAATAGTAATGCTTACGATAATATTAATAATAATAATAATCATAATTATAATAATAATAATAATAATAATAAGAATAATAATAATAATAAGAATAATAATAATAATAACAATAACAACAATAACAACAATAAAAAATTAAAATTAATATATTTTTTAATAATATTTTAGCAGATCATTTAGAGCATCCATTAAGTATACACGAAGAAAAACGAAAATCGAGTAAAGGACTTCAAAATGGCATTAGCTCCTCTGATCCTAGCACTCAAACCCTTGTAAAAGAAGTAAATATAATAAAACATTTGTCACAACTATGTGACAATCTTTATAATTAATCATAGATTTACTTACTTCAAATGTATATTTACTAAATGATTATAATTTTATAATTTCTAAAAACATATAATCTTAAACTTTTTACAAATTTTGTTTATCTTAATTAACATAAAAAATAAGCAGTGTATATTTGTAAAAGTGTATATGTATATATAAAGTTTTAAAATAATATTCTTAAAAATTAATTATTGATTTATAGACTTCAAAATCATTTTTAATGTGTCTTAATAAACTATAAATATGTTGCTTGTAATAAAGTATTGAATTAAATTTAAATAAATGTATCATGTTAATGTACCTTGTCAATAATTATAGAAAGTTATTACATTTAAAACATCAAATTAAAATTAAAATTACATTTGAAAATAGTTTCATTCGTTCAATATACTAAAACTAAGGAGTTTGAAATAGGAGAAATATTTTATCTTTTAACAGAATAATTACAAATATCTGCACAAACGGAACAGGCGGAGCACAGGAAGTGGTAATGATTGGGGAGAAGTGGCAAGCAATGCAGCTGGTTCTTTACCTCCAGAACCTAAACTACAGTTACACATCATTGCTAAAACCTTTAATACTTCTTTAGATCAAAAATACTGCTCTGCTTCAGCACCAAATGCGCCAAATAATTTTAGTTGCATTGTGCCTTTGTCAAAATACATGTCCGATTCACACCTCACACTTCGCTTTATGTAAGTACTAAAAAGTACATGAAAACTTCGTAATAAATGAGTAACGTTAAAAATTCAGAAATTAAAGATAGTTTGAAAAAGAAATAAACTCTAGGATGTTATTATTTTTATTAAATGTACTTCAAACGTCAAAAATACACATCAACTTCTCAATACATGACACTGCTTCTCCTTATTTACTACTCAATATAGCACACATTAATTAATTACAATATGATAAAATATTATAACTTTAATTGTCTTCTTGGAAATAATAAAAGTAACATTTATCCAAAAATTTTCAAAAAAATACGAGAATTAAAAAAGAATTAATGCAACAATAACAAAAGAGAAATCCTGTCATTCTGATTGATGTTATTTTTTTATTAAATATAAACCAACATACTCATGTATATTCGAAGACAAGATTAATATTATTTAATACAATATTATTACTATTAATAATTGTTTTATAGCATCTAAAGAATTTAACAGTGTAAAAATTATGATATACGATAACATTTATTATCTTCCCTAGGATTTCTGTATAATTATCACGTGTAGAAATACGGGAGAATCGTATGAATTTATTATAAAATAAAATCTTTTGACGCTCGGTATCTCATAGTATTCATAAAATGTCTGCAGCGGAATGCCTTGGTACTGGCAAGTTGTGCAACAATGTGCGCCGCTTTCCAATTCAGGACTAGACGAAAGTACGAGTTGCAGCTGGGGCTACGCGAATAATGCGGAACGTCCAATGCAATTCAACGAGAATACCAATCAACCGGGGGATCAATCGTTTTACTTGGATGTTGCACATTATATGCGCAAAACGCTGAGATTTCGCGTGCCAACTGTCCAGCCGCAAGATGTAAGCTTCGATTGAGTGAAAAGAATAATATTCCTTCCATTTGCTCATTCTTTTAGATTATCTGACGTGATAAATGGTAACAAATCTTAGTAAAAATAATAAAAATGGTTGTAAAAAAATAATAACAAAATGGTATAAAATAATTATTTGCCTTTAAAAATTATGTTGTTTTTATTGTAATCAAGTCATTTGTTTGCGATAGTTTCAATGGAATTTTTTTTGCGCTTATTAAAATTAAATGCTTTAATTATAATTATAAATAAAATAAATAAGTGAACAAAAAAATTTCTTTCTAGTCTAATGAATATTTTTCTAGTTTAATTAATAATATAAATGTTGATATAAAGAAATTTTGAAATTGATATAATTCTATAGCCTTTTGATTTCAAGTAAAAATGATTAAAAAAAAATAATAATAATTAGTGCAATAAAAATTTTAATTACTGATTTTTTTCTTTTTTGTTATAGAACATTTGCAAGGAAAAGCAAGACGGTGAGTTTATAGAATTTGTGCTACATTTTTATCGGGACTGTGATGAATGAAAAGTATTGAAAAAACAAATATGATCTGCGAAATGATTGCTTTTTCCAAGTTTTATACAAAGTCACGACATTTTCTCATCAGTCGTTTTAAATATCTTGATTAAACTTTATTTGTCATATAATTGTTTATATTAAAAATTATAATAATGAAAAGAAGTAAGCGAGAGCGAGAAAATGAAAGATCTCACCTCTTATTACCCTGCAACGATGCTATTAAGGGGAAAATTATTGTCATATCACCTTATCCAGTATTTCGACAACGTTAACTGGTATATGCATATTCTAAGAGAAACGAAAAGTATAATTTTCCATTGTAACTCCGAACAGATAATATGTAACAAATACATTTTGTATATGCACAACTTAATATTATTAGTGCGAACTCCAACGTATATTATAGTATAATATACAACTTTTTAAACGAGGACTCGAATTTTGTCAACATATTAAACATTCAAATGTTAATAATACTTAAAAAAAAAAATTTAATTATTTCTACTGCAAGTATTTATAAAAATAAAATTTTTATATTTTGCGAGTCTTACGTCATTGCAGTCTGTTTTTTTTTTTTTTTTTTTTTTTTTTTTTTTGGGGGGGTTTTTTGCTATTAAATTATTGATTGTAATATTGTTGAACATATTGAATTATATGTTATTTCTCTTAACTTTTAAAGAATAGATACCGTAATGTTCTCATGTACGAGAGTTATCAGAATAATCAAGAATCTGCAAATCGTTATCATCTTATTATTTTTTTTACTCATTTCTTATTCAATAACACAAAATAAATTTCATATAAAACAATTAATTTTATATTTGTCTTATTAAAAATTATTATATTTGCATATTCTTTTTATAATGGAAGTGAAATAAGTAATATTTCAAAATATTGAATTGAAATATTGGAATCCTTAAATCTCTAAACATAAAAAATTATTCTATTATAAAACATTGAAATCACTTGTTATGTTAGTTGTATAGTTTATAGAAATTCTAAATTAAGTGAATTATTGAATGCTCGAATTTAAAATAAATTGTGTTTTTTTTTTTTTATTAATTCTGATAACTCATACATTTATAGAATACTAATTTGTAAGGCGTGTAGAAACATTTTTATTATGTAGTTCAACAACTTTTATGCAAAACATCTATATTTCTTTTTGTAAATAGTTTAATATAAAATATTTATTGATGCACAAATATACTACACTTAGATTAATGACACATTTTGCGTGAGTTGAATATTAATTTATATATGTGTACTGTAGTTATGAAATCGTACAGTAATAACTACATAGTATTCAAAGTAAGTGAATAATGATGTTCAAAATTATGTTTTAAGTAAATGTAAATATAACATTTCAATCTAGCGTGAACATGAGTTTTTATTTTAAGTTTGCACCTGACATTAAAAACATACATTAAAAATTATAATTCATCTTTTATGTTTATTTGTTTTCACAATATTGTTTAATATAAAAATCAAAAGATAATAGTGTATGTCATTAAAATATGTCATCCTCATATTTATAAACTTAGCAGTAGTTTATCATTATAAAAATAATTAACATCAACAAAGAAATATATTTAGATGTTTTAATATACTATGCCGATATAAAATATACATTAAAAATAATAATTATTAACACAAATTATTAACACAAATTATTAACAATAATATCCTTTTAACTGTTATTTATTTTCTCTTTTTGCTATTCCAGATAAAACTTTATATATTTACTTTATAAAGAAATTGACGTTATTTATTTTTTTTTTTATATTTATAAAGTATCTATTTTAAAATATACGCTATAAACAATTTAATCTTTTCATTAAATAAAGAATCTTTATATACATTAATAAAATTAAATGTATTAATTACAATATAAGGAGGTACATATTGAAATTAAAAGGAAATAAACTATTGTAATATAATTTTAAATATCAAGAAACGATAGACTCTCGATTGTAAAATAGTCGTTAATAAGTGATGACAATGCTTTTCTAACGTTTAATTTTTGCAGTAACTTTTATTTTATCTAAGTATAATATTAAAAAAAATTTTTAATTTAACAATATGTATATTAATCAATAAAGGAATTGTATTAATATATTTATACAACGTAATATAATTTTTAAATAATATTTAGATAAGTTTTTAAATTAAATTAATACTGATAAAATAATATTGATAAATATATACAATTTAGGAATATTTTCTATAGAACTATAAATAATAAAATTTTTATTCTATGAAAATTACTTATATTCTTAATTATATGAACCATCTTCGATTAACTATACGTATTGTATAATAGGTTTATGGTAAAAAATTTATCTTACGCCTTTGAATATTTGAACATAAACTCTGAAACAAATACCAAACAAATAACAAATATATATTGTATTATTCTTATTACATATTAAATGTTGAATATAATTATATATTTATTTTTGTTTATTTTTTATATTAAAAATAAAAAATTATTACATTTATGTATAATTAAAATTTTCTTTTTAAATGAACTTAATATAGTTTATGCCACAATTAATTTTTATTAACCTCATTTACATAGAAACGTATAAAAGTTTCAAAAACATCAGTAGTAATAAAAGAAGTATAAATAAATTGTATGTAAAAATAATAACATTTTTATATAACTTTATTTATGTATAAGTGAATTAATGACTATGTTTATTTAAAAAAAAACTATTGTAAAACTCAAGTAAATATTTGATGTTTTTAACATTCTCGAATATTTTATTATTAAGCAATATACAATAAAATCTTAACTTTATACAGTAAATAAATAAATTTATTAATACAAATAGAGCAATTTGCTTAGAAATTATAGTGGGTACGTAGCTTATTGGCTTTAAGAAAATTTTTCGTATATAAGCATACTTTTATTATACAGTATTAAAGAAATTGCAGTAATTATATATTTGTACAATTTTCATATCGTATATTCATATTTTTGAACTACATTTATATATTTACAATATTGTATTTGTTATCGTAATGTTAATAAATAGCACAGAAAGATTAACATTGTAATCTTTTTTCCTGGTCACAAGTAAAAAGTTTCTTATATTTATTACCAAAACATGTACAACAATCATTTTTTAATGAAATCATTCTTTCCATAAAAATTTTCATTAGAGTAAATCACAGACGAGTGAGTACATATATAACAGGCAATATGCATCACATCAATTTAATCTCTATTTATAAATTAAAAATAACATGTTTGTAACAAATATGATGATTCTTATAGAAATTATTATCTGCATAAAGTTTATATATATTTTTTTTCTTGACATTTTTACCATTTTTTTTTTTAATATAATACATACATAAGTATACAAAAAGGAGAATAAATATGCGAACGCAAAATTTACAGTTGTTTACGTCAAAACATAACATTATTAACTATTCCTACAATAGCTGGCATATAACAAATAACATAACATAAAAAAATCTTTCTTCCTTTTGTAAAATACGGACGATTTATACAATAATAAAGAATGCCATCTTTTTACATGAAAAATTATTTTTCTTTTTTATATTCTTTTTCATCTGGAATTTCTTCACGTACAGCTAATACCATTCTTAACATAAGAACAGCAAGTACTTTATCCAAAGGATCCATAAATCCCCGTTGAATCCATTTAGGAATAGTGGTACGAGCGTGTGAGAATCCTAATTTCTGTAATATGTAGTCAATGCCATAAGGTTCTATGCTCTTGCCAGCCCATGAGAGAAGTCTAAAATATAGTAGAATATAAAAATATAATAGATTTCTTAATTTTAATTTCTAAAACATTAACTAATAGCTATTGATGCTTTTTTAATACAAGTGTCAAAAATCGTTAAAAAAATTTTAATACTATAACAGTTTAATTAAATGTTTAAAAAAAATTTATTTTTACATGACTTGTCTGCAATGTTTATAGTACCAACCTTACAGTTGGTTCCAAGTGCCAAGTCTTACATCTGTAAGATCGCCAATCTTTAATGAACATATCTGCAGGATCGAATTGTTTACGTTTTTTATCTTCTTCAGAAGTCACGGTAGTCGCGGATGACGTACTGGATTGATTTGTACCTTTCTTTTCGTTGGGATCAGGACTATGTGCTCTTGCACCGTAATTTTGCATTGCATGCTACAAAATTTACAAAAAAATACATTAATACAATAAGAAAGATTTTTTTTTTATATAAACTATAATAGTTTGTAAATTTCTGGTTGATTATTACCACGCGTTCTTTTTCTTTAACATAAGATGTAATAAGGTCGTGTAGAAAGAAAAAAGCCTCCGCATCGACAGTAACAAATATATGGTCTTCGAATTCGGTAATAAAGCTGCATTCCACAAGTGGTTTTTCACCTTTTAAAATATATGGACTCATTAACATTATTACCAAATCAAACGTCAAATTATTTTATGATTTTTGCAATATTAAAATGAAAAGCTTATATTTATATTATATACAATTTATGAATATATTAAATGTTTCCATTATGAATACAATTGTTCATTTTAGTTAATGGTATTATTATCTAAATTTTTTTAATTATCTCTAAACCCGGTAAATATTTGTCGAAAATTTTGTCTTAAAATAACTTATACGCATAAATTAAAGAGAAAATTTTTAATAAAATATAAAATTTTAAATGTCTTAAAATCAAGTATTGAATACAAAAATTCAATTTTATAATTCATATTATATTGTTTTCATTAGATATGTTCTACAGAGTAATATTACCATTAAAATAAAAAATTTTAAGCGATTATACAAATGAATTTAAGACATCAAAATAATAATATAACATACAAATTTTATTCATATGCTTTTAACTACAATTGAATGCTAAGTCTAATATAATATATTTTCTACTTTGATCAAATAAGTACTTATGTACTTACTGTACAGAATGTGTTTAGGCAGTCCTAGAAATACACAGAAAGAGAGTAGCACGAGAACACGAAATAAAGTAGTAGTATGTATCACTAATTATTGTTTTAATAATTTTATTATTCAAACGTATTTTATAAAAACAAAATAAAAAAATCGGTATGATTATACTATAAAAAATAAGTTATTTAGAAAATATAAATACAACGTTGAACACATCACTTTTCTTAAATAAAATAAAATAATTTTTGATATATTTTTAATATTGTTAATTAATTGAGTACACATGCGCGTGCGCGCACGGATATGCACGTACACTGAATTAACAGTTTAAAGTCTACCTTAATAAGTAATTATCTAAAAAATATTAATGCCATTGATACAAATAAAAATAATTTGTACAAATAATATACATAAATCATATAATTAATTAATATTTATATTTCAAGCGTTAAGAAAAAATTTTTTTTCATTTACATTTTTAAAATATATAAAAGCTACGGACACTCGTTTATCTTGTTTTCAACTATATTGTTTGCAAAAAATAAATATACGATCTTTGTAAAAAGAATGTTTACAAGTATAGTTCTGAGGCATTATAACATTCTATAATATAAAGTAAAACATACCTTTTACATTTGGTGTTTTGGCAGTTTGCAAATGCTCTGTTTTTAAATGCAATTGCAAAGATGGTAATGCAAATATAACTTCTCTAGTATGAGAATGCTCTTGTAATTTTCCAGAAGTAGTAGATAAATTTCTACCTCGAGATGTATTAGTATTTTCTGATGTGCTTTCGGTCCTTTCTCTTTCAACACAAGGAAAACGGTCGACAGCTAAATAAAAATTCGTTCAAATTTAAAGACTTAATTATAATTTTAATTAATTCAAATAATAATTTACCATCAATTTCACTATTAGCAAAAGCATAGTGAAACCATTCTTGCAATGATTTGAATTGTGGAGGAAAAAGTACACTTCGACTTAACCTGCATACGGTTGCCATTGAATGATGCCTAGCATGTTGTTCTTGTTGTTGTCCAAGACTAATAGTTAATGTTTGAACGACATGTACATCGCAAGTATTAGGTGCTGTATACAATAATTCATATATTATTTACTATTTGTTTTCTCTCGTATGAAATTATGTTATTAAAAACTTTACAATTTGTTTAAGAATTACAAAATAAAATAAAGCAAATAAATACGTACAGTCAACACTTGGAATTTCTTGTGCCTCGGTAGCAAAACTAATACAGGGCTCTTTTAATGAAAATAGTGCCCAACTTTTACTTTTGAAATTGATACCGTGAAAACATGCTAAACTAATATTGGAGCCATGTAGCTCCATTGTACCACCAAGAACTGTTCCATTTGTTGGTAAAGAAAATCTTAAACTTCCTAATTGTAATCCAGCAACTTCACATAAAACTCGCTGCCAATGTCGATGATGTCGAGCATCCGACAAAGCTGCCTGATTTATAGACCATGATCCTAAAAAATCACTTATATAACAAAATTGAATCAAAGTCATCATTTAATGAATTTTATTTCTAATACTTTCTAACCTTCGACATTTGTTCGTTTCTTTTGATGCCTTTTTTTCATACTACTATTATTTATTTTTTGCTGTCTAGATTGCAGTGAACTAAACACACGTTTACTGCTCTTGAATTGTTGACTGAAAAATTCATCTAGTTTATAAAACATCTTGAGCAAGTCAGCTGTTGTTGACTTACTTATCATAATTTGTAATTGATCCCAGCCAAGATCACCATGCATAAATATTACAGCTGGTCTGTAAAAAAAAAAAAAAAAAAAAAAAAAAAAAAAAAAAAAAAAAAAAAAAAAAAAAAAAAAAAAAAAAAAAAAAAAAAAAAAAAAAAGATATATAAACGTTTTCAAATTTCAGCTGATAGATTTGACAAATCGGATAACAAATATCAACCTTCTTGTTGGCATGAATGCATCTCCACTACTAGTACGATTAATTTTCCATTCATCGCGTAAAGTAACATCTAAAGATGATACTCTGGACATTAGTACACTTGTTCCCATATAATCCAATCTTAATTCTAAAGCAAATAATTTTAATCCAACAGTGTGGTCAGGCTCTGTCCCACGTTCTTCGCAAATATGTACTGCAAATAAATATAGTTTAGAATTTATATTGTAAAATTTAAATATTATATAAAAAATATATTTAAAAAATACGAAACAATTAAAAAAATATAGTTAATATCAAAGAAAATGTACTCACTGTAAGTATCGATCTTACTAAGTTCAATAATACCACCAACGATTCCACCTTTTGCATCTAAACTAGAACCTCCTAATCCTATACCTATATATAAATTTTTATGTCCAGTACTTCCAATCGATAATCTTCCATCTGATCGAAAATCTTTGGTCATCCAAGAAACATTCCCCATAACATTTCCCATATTCATATGAACATTTAAACGAGTAAAATTAACGGCAAAAAGTACTAAAGTTTCCCAAGCCGATTCGCGTAACTTTATTTCTGATGTTTGCTTATCAGTTGTAAAACTCCAACCCCTTCCAATATCTAAAATTAAAATAATAATATACATTAAAATATTAATAAATATTATATTTGTGAATTTAATGAACAAATCTACAAAAGTTTCTATTAAAAGACTAGATAAGATAATTATTATGATGAATCAAAAATTGTTTTAGAAAATTTTAATTAAATTAAATATTCTAATTATATAAGATATTGCAAGCTTATTACAGAATTTACATTATTGTATCAACTGAATTATTATTATATATCTAACAGAAATGTTTGTTGGACCTACAAGCGCATATATATATATATATATTTTTTTTTTTTTATTTATACCTTTCAGACGGATTTGCTTAGGGGCATCATTGTCAAAGCTAAGTCGTAATTTATCTCGATTCAATGTCGGACTGCGCTCGGGTAGATTTTTTGATAAAATGTCACCACCGTGACGATCGTGATGTTTTAATAATGAACTTCCCATTGCTGCTTCTTCCTGATTATAAAGATTAGAGTCGCCTTCGGAGTAAGCTACTCCAGAACTAAGATCACCCAAAAATAAACGTCGAACGATGCTACGTCGATACCAGGCTTTCGGAAATGCGAGAATTTCCGTCAGTCTACGCATATCGTACTTAAATGACGCTGAACCGATATCTATAATGGCTAGATTAAAAATAAAAAATAAAATATTATAATAGTTTGGGATTTTTTAATCAATGGGCATCGAAATTGTAATTTTTTTTTTTGTTTCTTTCTTTTTTTTTTGTTTTTTTTTTGTTTTGTTTTAAATAAACGCGTATGCTGTTTATTATGCAATAAAATAGTCGGTAAAGAATATCTTATAAAGATTCTAATTAATTACAACATATGAAGTACAATCATTATTCATTATTCAATAAACTGAAAGCTACTATTACATATTAAATTAATATTAAATAACACTGTTCTTAATCGATATTATGTTAAGTATAAGATTAATGGAAATAGTATCAATAAGTTTATCTATCTCACTTGAGAATCTTATGACAGCTCTACTGGTATCTGTGCCAATTTTCATTTGTTCATTTGAAAAATTCTGCTTCCTACTTCTGGAGAGGTGGAATTTAACAAATTCGACATTTATACTAAGAGAGTCCTTTCTCTCGCTATCCGACAATGGAGACCATTGGGCCTCTTTAAGGCCAGATTTTTTACCACCGCCATATGGATGAAAAATATACACCGAGAAGTCAGCGAGACAACCAGTAACTGAGAGGCCACCCGTAGCTGAACCACTTTCTTTACCTACGGAATGCCCAACATTGGATTTAAATTCGCGAAATTCCGTGAGATCCTCTTCTGCGCGTTTAGATGAGAAGACAATGTCCAGCGATGGTAGCTGGAGCATACATTCTACGCGTGAAACCGGTAGACAAGAAAATCTGAAATACGCACACAATTTGATTAATGTTAATAGAATGTTGTTATTTGAATGAACAACATTTATAAGTAAATTATCTTATTTACCAGTCTTATTTTTATCAATTACATTAACTTAATTAATTATATCAAATGAAATTGTAACAATTTATTAATGCATTATATTATTTTACAACATATTTAGAATAATATCTTATTTAATATAAAAAATGTCGCCATGTAATAATATACCTGAATGTTGATGGTTGCATATGAAAGTAAACAATGACATCGACGGGGAAGCTCGCATAAACGTAATTACTACTTGCAGCAGTTGCAGCCCAAGAACTTTCCATATTTTCTAAAGGAAATACAATATTAGTTTGGCCACCGCTTTGAAAGTTAGCTTTACTCGGTATAGGTTCTAAGGTCTGTTCTAAAAATTCCAGAATATGTGGACTTATGATAGTTTCTTCTGGAATACTCTGTAGTGTCATCCACGCAAAAAGACTAGCTTTTTTAGTACTCGATTTTTTCACAATAGACATCATTGATGAATTTAAAAGTGGATTATCAATTGATATGCGTGGAGAAAGAGATTCTTCTGAAACTGTTTTGGACTCGTAGTGAACCTAGAGTTCAAAAAAAAAAATTCAATCATTGATCACAATAACTTAATTGATTTTTAGGGGAATAAAAATGATGTTCTAACTTTAACGTCTAAGCCAGGAATGTGAAATATCGTTAAATCTACCAAAGGCACATTTGCATGATGAATATATCGCAATCTAGATGAACTAGTCGTTGATTTTTCTTTGCTGTTTATATTTTTTCTCCCACTACTAGGACTACTTGGTTGAAATTCAAAAGTCCCACCAGAGCATGATCGTTCCTTCTTCATTCGGCTCATTCTTATAAGAGAATTTATTTAAGTAAAAAATTTATTGAATGTATATATATATATATATATATAGCATACATATGATTTTGTAGAACTTACAGTTTCAACTCATCTTCTCTAGCTGGATCTTTCGTATGCAGCACACATTTTCCACTATTAATCAGAACCTTCACGTCAAGCTCAAAATCAATATTTGGCTCATGTGGTTTTTGTTGAATAAAATATGACGAGGAAGCGGTCGAAGTTTGATCCTTACCGAGAGCATCAACAAGTGGAACACTATATTGAAAATAATATTAAATTTTTGTACGTTGTATTTAAATCATACCAATGTTTTAAATAAAATCTTTGTTAAAATAATTTTCTTCATTAAATCCATATGAATATATATTAATATAAATATTATTTACAGAAAGTTATTTTAATTACAATAAATACGTACTTTCCTTCCATACTATTGTAGCTAGAAGTATTACTCATATCTTTATTTTTTTTTCGTAATTCCACTTGTTCGCCTTCAATTTCAATTGTATCAGGCCAATCTAAATTATCCTCCGGTAAACTCAATTCAGATCCTGCGCTTGGTAACGATGATTGTCTATAACAAAATATATAGCATTTATAAGTTGTTTAATTGTTATAAAAACAGAATTAGTTAAAATTTTACCTGCACATTGTATGAGAATCTCTAAAAGTTACTCTTGGTCCACTGCTTTCCCTAACTTTAAGCGATGCAGATCTTGATTATTGTAAAATAATTTACGGATATTAATTTTCAAATATAATGTATCTAAATACAATATTATACAATCATAATTATATGTAAATTATCTATCATATTACCGACTTGGACCACTCCTAGGACTGCTTTCATAGCTAGCAGAATTAGCTGAATTCATTTCTGCATTTAAATCTTCTGGGCTTCTTAATTGATGTTCAGGCGTAGGAGATGGTACAATAAAAGACCTTGACTTGTAAGTGTTTGATTTTCTTTCAAGACCAAGCTTTTCTCGTATACCCGAAGCTTTAACAGATTGCCTTCTTAATTTTTGTATCATATCACTGAAAATAAAAAATATTTCGTCTTAAATATAAGGAACAATTATGGAATAATTAATTACATCGAGTAAAACCTTTTTCTGATTTTCCAATAATATTAGATAATTGAATACTTATTATATCTTACATGAATGCAACTTTTTTTATTGAAACTTTTTTTTATCAATATTCTTAAATTTTTCTTAATATAATTATAATATAAATAAATAATATTTCAAATAATTTATTATTTCTTTATGCATACCGTCTAAAATCCTTGAAAACCATAGCCTCTAGCTCATGCAATCTTTTCATTTCTTGCTCAATCGTTCCATGCGATGCTCCAAGAGATCTTAAATCATTAATAATTTTTGCCTGTTCGTTCATTTCCTTTTCAATTAATTTAGAGCGTTTCTTAGCGTCTAATGAAGGATCAAATACAAAAGCTGGTAAACTATCGGTCCAATTCTTCGACTTTTTCATTAAAATACTTTCTTGACTGGTACTATTTTCTGGTTGATCCATATCATCGCTATCATAATCTAAAGATGCAAAAGTATCATCTTCCTCTGAACCAGTTAGCATAGTTAATGTGTGTCCGAGCGCAGAAAGCTGTTGACCTACGCTAACATCTAAATGAATATCGACACCTTCCATTTGCCATTGTACATTTAGTATCCATTTGGCATTTTCAGTAACTTTAGCTTTATACGGAAAATATAAATTATTTTATATAATAAATATATATATATATATATATATGTAATAGAAATTATGTCGTCTAATATAATAAAATAAATTATACTATACCAGATTTATCTTGCTTTTGGGCTATTGTTCTACTACAGACTTCATAAGTACCTTCTGAAACGACACATAAATTCATAATAGTATTGTCGCTCATGTCTGGCTTCCAATCATCTAAGGAAGTTTCGAAATCTTCAGCAAATCTCAAACATAAGCCAATAAATCTAGAAGAAAATACATATGCTAAGAATTGGTGCATTACTCTTTTAATACACTATGACATTATTATTTAACAAAATAATAAATTACCTTCCTTTGCTAACCAAGCTACCACTACTACAAGCTGATATACTCGTATTTTCCAATGTTATAACAACAGCACCCCGTGATTCACCATCATATAATCCACGACTTAAGCCCCAATTTTTTGGTGGTAATGGATTTAATGGAATACAAATACCCATGTCATCTATAGTTAATTGTAGAAATAATGTTCCTAAATGCGGTGCACTCAATTGGCTAGTTAGTTGACCAAACGGAACCTTTTCAAATACTTGCTGAGTAGCAGTCAATACTTCTTTATTTAAGTTTGACCTTTTCTCGTTCCAATATTCATATGCGTTTTTGTAATTGAGCCAAACTAGTATAGCTTTATCAACAGCCATTGGTTGAATATAAATTAATGGTCGCTTCAAAGTTATTAAAACGACTTCTTTGTCTTGTCCTTGAGCCATCTCTTCTTGAAAAGCATTTCTCAAACCAATTCGTGTATTAAAAAATGCAAATTGCTGAAATTCTGGTTCAGCTTCCTCAAACATAACATTCTTCAATAATTGACCAAGGCTGAGATTTATGTCAACTTGAGCTTTACCAAATAATTTCATGTAAGGATTTGGTTGTGTTGATCTAGAAACGTTTTGAACTCGATTGGAAAGTTGAAATTCAAAAGCGCCAGTCTCAAGACGAACCGCTGAATTTGTGGGTGTTGTCGCGGTTAGTTGAATTCTCTATTAATATAATAAAAATTCAAAATTTATCTACATCAATAATTATATTGTGATAACACAATAGAAGGTCAATACTAACTTTTATGCGAATAACAAGAGAAAACAGAATTCTTTTTAAACTCGAAGTTGTGGTAGGTTCCTCATCTTCGAGCCATAAAGGTACTGGTTTTTCACCACCATATACTTTTTGCACAACTTCATTTACCTCCTTCATAAAAACTTTCTGCACGAAGACTAAATGATTTAAAAGATCTGTAGTTAAAGAATGCTCAAAAATTCCAATATCTGCTACTGCATTTAGGTAACTTCCTTGTCTCAGAACGACTCCATCTATAAAGATAATAAAATTTTCGAATTAAAAAAACTAATTAATTAAAATAATTAATTTCAAGAAAATATATTTAGATATGTTACCTGCAAGTTTACTATCATTTAAATTGCTGCCACCATCCTGAATATACTCTGCAGAAACGTGAACTTTTGGTAATTCTATGCTAGCTTCGGATGGCAAATTGGCCTCAGTCACTTGAAGTTTAGTAGTAAAACTAAGACTATGATGTGGCAAATCAATTGTAAATTTAGCTTTGCTACCAGTTATTCCCGAACTGTTCACTTGATCCATTTTATACTGTGCTTGTAACGAAGGTAATAATGCTGCTGTTATACTAAGGCTTTGCAGAATAATATGGAATTGCATAACTATTGGATCTAGTAGACTAGATACTGCTTGAGGTTTGTCAACGTCAACTACAGGTACTACAGAGTATTGATGAGGACTTCCAGGTATTGCATCCGATTCTTCTTGTTGTTGACCACGAGCCATCCTCGAGGAAGTTCTCGTTACTCGTAATTCCTACATAGAGATTTTTATTTTAATCATAAATATAAAAAGCAATTATTCCAAGTACGTATATAATAATATACATGTTTTTGTTTTTATTGAATTTAATATATATATTTAATTAATATATATATATTTATATATATATATATATATATATATATATATATTTATATATATATATATAATATATATATATTTAATATATAATTTAATTTTTATAAATCAGTTAAGTAATTTATTTATTTGAAAGTTTATTTCAAATTTTTGCGTAATTATGTCTAATATTGTCTAAACCTAATAATATTTGAACTAAATCATATATTTAAATTTCCATTCTGTGCAAATCCATTTAATACAGGTGAATACATTTTATTATTATTAAATTTCTCATTTATTATACCTCATTTTCATCTTTAACTACAAAATTTGATCGATTTTTTTTAACCTTCTGTATAAGTATTCTTTGAACTCTATTAATTAATATTAAATATACCGTCTAAATATAAAGACTATAAGGCCAATTACGTATTTATTAAAAATCTTATACTGTAAACAGAAATACCATCAGATTTCAGTAATATTGCGTGCAATATAACATTGAACGAAATAAATTTTAATAATTATGAAGAAGAAGAAGATATATTAAAATTGATGACCAATAATCTACTAAATGGATTCATTTATTTCTGGAAAAACTATCAATGTTTAAAATAATGAAAATAAATTTACCTGAAGTGTTGATGATAATTGTTTACTACCCCTAGTCATCATTCCATGTAGAACAACGGGGTGTTGAGGAATATCAATATTTACAGCACCAACTGTTAATAAACCGCTATTCTTATCTTTTTGCTTTCTAGTTACACTGGAATATAAGGCTTGCGATTTGCCAACAGTAACTTTTACAACAGTTTGTTGACTCGGTGCTACTCCTTCAATAAGAACTATCATCGTTCTTCCAATTTGACCAGTTAAACTACATTCCAGGCTTGCAGGTCGAGTTTTCTTTCGACATGTCAAGCTTGAATGCAAACTCGTTATTTCGGCCTCTAATTTAAGTCCACTTAACGTAGCTAATAATCTCGTTCGATGAATTCTAGCTACTCCGAAAATAATCAATCTTGTTCTTTCACCTGTAACTACACCTGTAAAATCAAAATGTTATTTTATTATAATTTGTATATACAAATTTTATATTTTCACGTTAAAAGTTTGTTTCAAAAATTTACTTAGTTCTCGAGGTGGTGGAATAGGTGTAGAACTAGACTCTGCGTTTAAACCCTTTTCTATATCAGTTTCTTTGATATCACTTGAATTTTCATATTTTTTGGTATTTTTATAATTATCTGAAGTATCAACTGGCACAGAAAATCGATGTGTAATCATTTTTGTTTCAGGTTTTATAGCGTATAAATCCAGTAAATAATAAATTGTTTTCCAACATCTGGGTGCTATATTAGAAATGTTCTTACATTTTTCAGACAATATGCTAAATTTTTCTAGGCCAGAACTACTGGGACTTGCACCAAAATTTGGGGTGATAATGCCTTCGCTTAAATTCATATAGCCTTTAACACTTTTTCCAGTACTTCGTAACTTTTGAGCAAAACTTTGAGGTCTAGAACGAATACTAGATGTTGGAGATATTACCTTAGGCTGATTATTATTGAGTTTAATACCAATTATTGGTTTCTCGGCTTTTTTCACATTTTTGGATAATTTTTCTTGAATATCAGAAGCTAAAATTAATGTAAAATAAGCTTTATATCAAGATGCTTTTAATAAAAAATTCAACCTTAAAAAATTAATAATAATTGTATTTACTTGAAGATCCATTTTTTGTTCTATTATTAATCATGGAATTTCTATTTAATTTAGTATCGGATTGTTGTTCTTTTAATTCCATTTGTGTGTCTTTGACATTTTGATACATGTTGCTAATTTGATGTAATAGTCTCAGAAGCGGCATGTTTACTTGTTGACTAATATATCGAATATTTAAACTAAAATTAACAACAGTGCTGGTATGTTTCTTCAATTGACCTCTTGATATGTATAATACATTCTGTTTTTGAATCATATCATCTACACTCAAATCTGCCATTTTCTTCATATCTATATCAATACTAATTTTTTCACAAAGGAATGCTGGAGTTTCGGGTGGTATGTCTAGATAAAACTTAGATCCTGGCATTTTTTTAGAAGAAAATTTGTTATCTGTAAATGAAAGCGATATAATTACGTAAGACTCAACATATATTCAGGATTTTATAAATTAGCTTTAAAAGAAAAATAACTTTTTTTTTTATCCGGAGCTTTTCCATATTCGCTAACAACTATATCTATTCGCATAGTTTCTATATTACTAACAAGAGACAAATTGGAACCTAACGAATCTAAGGAAGATACATTATTTATATTCCCAGAACTAATAGCAGAAAGCATTTGTTGTGGCATCACTGATAGCGATGATAAAAGTGGTTCAAAAATTAAGTGAGCATCCAACAATCGAAGCGAATCTTTCATCGTATAAAGAAAAGCACCGCTTTGCTCATCAGAATCTTCAGTATCTTCTGTAGTCATAGTATTAATTTTTGAATCCTATATTAGAAAAATAAAAATTAAATAAGAGTCGATACCATCTTTTCTTTTCTTTTTCTTTTTTTTTTATAAAAAAATACGATAAAAAAAGCAAAAATGATAATATTTAATTTAATAAATTATTTTAGACGTAAAAATATGTGATAACAAAAACTTATAATAATAATGGTAATACTAAGAATAAATAATAATAAATAATAGCAAATCATTTGGGAGGTAAGTCTTAATACCTTGGTAATTTTTTGTTCTGTATGGAAGACCTGGATAAAAAAGCACGATTTTTTGATACCAAGTATAATTAATATTTATCGAATGATATAATAATCTACGAAAAAATCTTATGTAACACTAACCCAGTTGCCTTTAAGTTGTCCTTTTTCATTATCCTTAATAAATTCCTGTTGTTTTGCCATCCAACTATACAGATCTTCACCAAGATTGATTGGTTTGCTTGAGTGATAAGTCGGTGGCGATATGACTTGATCGAGACTATTAGTGCTATGATGACTACCGTGACCAAAACCTACTGAATATATACTCGGATTTGAACCAAGATGATGATGAGAAATACAAATCTGTGGTGTCTTTTCTTCTCTCAATGTGCCGTAACCTGTTTATTTTTTAAATTAATGCAAAAATCATAAGAAATGACTTAGTGTTTACAAATTAATTTGATTCAATGAAATACAATTATTATTTGTCGTAAATTACTTGCATAACTATTATTGATATTCAAGCACCGTTAAGCAGAATAGAGAAGATTCAATATATTGATTTTTACTCTAACAGAGGATTATGTGCACTTTCCGGCTAAAAAGGATTGAGCGGTAATAACTCAAATATAATGCCGGCTATTTAATATATATATATATATATATATATATACTGAATAGATCAATTAATGAATTAATGTACGCTTGCATTGGCCAATAATCGAATATTTAAATGAAAGTATTTCGAAAATTTCACTCTCTTTAATAATAAAATCAAACAAATTGAATTAGTGAATTTAGTACAGCTATCAGATTCAAGGACCGAATGGTACATTCATTAATATTGATTTTCTCATTTTATTTACCTTATTGTAATTGTAAAGTATAATTTACCGATACAAATACACACGTATTCATAAACAGAATAATTAATATTTGAATCCTTTGAAGCCGGAGGACTACGTGTGTACTTACTTATGCTGTTGGGTTCTCTGGATTGAGTAAATAGGCTGGTCGTGGTGAGTAGTGGAAAGGCGATACTGACTCTAGTACTGGCTGGTATTTGTGTAGGTTGCAAAGATTTCCCTGCCTTGAGCAGAGCTAATGGTACAGAGGGTGATGTTAGTGAATCCGGATCTGGAACTGGCGCTACTGGGGAAGTGGTATCTTTCTCACCGCATGAATTCGCTTGAACCGTTAACTCACCACTGATACCACCACCACTCACCATACCTACTTCATTCGACATCAAGCCCAAAATTACTTTATAGGATGTAAAGGATCGAACCATATTAAAAAGCATTTACGAACCACAAATGCACTCTGCGTGTTCATATGCGTATGCGTGTGGGAATAGGTGTGTGTTAATGTGTGTGCGCGCGCGCGCGCGCCCGTGCATGCATATATATATATATATATATATATATATATATATATATATATTTATTTATATGCATATACATATGTAGCATGTACATATGTATGTATATATTTCTTAGCATAAGCATAGAGTTTTAAATATATCAAAATAACATCCGAAGTTTTTCAGTTATATATACTTTTGAAGATTTTTCGTGAAAATATATAAATCTCTTCTTATTAAATCATTGCAATGCAAAAAAAAAAACTAATTATATAACCATCCATGTTATGCATGTAAGATATTATTAATGTTTTAGATTTAATGAAGACCCACGTGTTTTTCTTTTCATTAGTCGTTTAATTCTTTTGTTTATTAATTAAAAATTAAAGAGAATATTTTCAATAAACTAGCATATTGTAACAAAGTTAAATTCTCCGTTGGTTAAAAATAATCTTCACAATGATTCAAATATAAATAATGCTGAATTTTAATTTGTTTATAATATAATATTTATATTAGATATTATTATTCAAAATAAATGCCTTTAGCATTATTAAAATATTACTTACTGGTGCAATATCTATTTACTTTAGAAACTTCAGATAATTTTGACACATTACAGCATAATAGAATAAATGTATTAGTACAAATTATTTCACAGTACCTGTCTTTTCTTGTCCACTTTTTAAATGCATGTGCTTATGCATATGATCCGCGTGAATCAACATTGCACATTCATCCGTTACTTCGTGATCATCTCCGCCGCTACATTCTCCGTCAGTCATAAAATTTTCCTAAATAAAAAATAATTTTTCTTTCGTAAAGAAAATCATCGATCATAATGTATTTTTTATATAACGAGGAACCTACTTCTTCAGGATCTGAAACTGCAAACGCCACGTTTAATGGTTTAATATGCTTCGTTTTATAGTTGTGTTCGAGAAGTAAAGGAGTATATAACACATTTTTCCATTGTCTACTTAAAACAATTACACCCTAAATATAAATTTCATTAGAAAAATCAATATTTCTTTATTTTAAACTTAGTATAATAAAATAATAATTAAAAGCTTAATTATTACTTGTCTTAAAGTTGATAACGATGGTAAATCAGTTTCATGTAAATTAGCTTCGATATTCTCAAGGTTCGATAACAAAATATAATTTTGAAGAATACTGCAAAGTTGACACGAAGGATCTTCTTGCAGTGTCTTGGCGAGTGGAGTTAATCTGGCATAACGACTCTATAATAAATATAGTAGAAATAACGTAACTTTTATACAAGCGCAAATTAAATTTAAATTAATTGAAAAAGAAATGTGTAATTGAGTTGTAGTATTATTCAAACGCAGCAAAAATTATATAACTCTAAAGGACGATGTAATTCATAAAAACTAGAAACTCTATATTTCGATGAAATCCTTACCTTCAAAGGCATGTGTATTGCTTGCATGTCTAATGCCTCCGCCATAAGACATGCGACAACGGCCGTAGATCTACGATACATACAACGGAACATATGGACTATTTGAATGGCAAATCTGTTGCTCGGATTCATCCACGCGTTGATTGCTGGTGAAGCAGTACTAAGCAAGTTCCAATCAAGCCTCGTATAATCGATTTTACGCGTAATAGGTGTACGAGGTGGTGCAGCAAAGTTAAACCAAACAGTCTTAAGCTCAATTACACAGGACACTGTATTACCACTTAATGGCTTTACAGCAGTCGTCGTACTCACTGCGCTACTGTTTACTTGCTGACTCGAGCTATTTATGTTCGTTGGTGCCTGCGAAGATTCTTGCTCTATTGTTTCCGTTACTGATACTGCAACGAAACAACCAACGATACACAAATTCACACGATATATTTTTTCTTTCTTAAGATCACATAAGATTACATGAGATTACATTACGATATATTAATCAGTGTAGATAATTATTCATAATTACTTACGATAAAAATTGATAATCATTTATTACTATTTATTATTTTTCAATTACGAGTTGTCATTAGTATCAATCATTAGTATTAAATACAACTATTTAGTCATTGAATATTTTTTTCTTTTATTATTTCTATTTATTCACACATAATTAAATTAATCGTTATCATTAAAAAAATTATTCATTACCAGCAATGTTATTAAGTTCATCCTGACTTTTATTAATATTATCCTTATCTGAAGCTTCCATTTCAGTTTTCTTTTCGTTCTGATCATTTTCGCCTTTCTCAAATTGTGATCTCTTAACAATTTTAAGCTTAATTCCTTCTAATCCACATTCAAACATAATAAAACCTAATCTATCCTCTCCACATCCTACAGTAAATTCTTCGGTTGCTTGTGGTGGATTTACCTTTTCACATAATTAATTGTTAATTGTTAAATTTTCATAATTATTAAAAATTAAAAATAAATTAAAATTTGTAAATAATGTTAACATACATTTTCTTTTTCTTTTTCATCGGGTGGCTGAAGAAGATAATAATCAACACACTTAAATGGAGATGTAATCCTTGTACATGTAAATAAAACTCTAGAATAATATGATGGTATGGCGGTTATCACAGCATCTTTTAATATAGACGATTCGTTTCTTAATCTTCTCAATTGGGTATGAACTTTTCCTATTAAAGTGTATTTATTTTTTAATAAATTGTAAAAGATAAGCTTTTTGAATGTCCGTATATGGGATTATAAAGGCTCATGAAATAAACAAAATTTTATATCAATATTTCATAAAAAAAAATTCACACCTATATTTAAAGTAATAATAATTTCTTCTTGCTGTTTTTCAGATGTTTCAATATATACAGTTTCACCTCCCCCAATATCAGCAACAACGCCAGTACTTTGATGTCCTGATAAAAATGCTTTAGTAATTTTATTGACCTTTTTCTGATTAGGTAAAACTGCCGGTTTATGAAAAGTTTGAACAATTTCACGTGCTTGTTTTCCTAAATAAAATCTTGCTGTAACTTCATCGAAGCAAATGGCAAATAATGATACACAAGTTAAATCTCGAATGTTATCCAAAGCAGAAAAAGATATAATTTCTTCTACAACCGAAGCTTGCAATAAAGTTACATTTATCTGTGAATTAAAATTTTCATTGTATTATTAAATAAGTAATAATTAACATAAAACTAAAATATTTTGTAAAATTAATCAAGTACCTTAGGTAATATGATGCTTCCTTGAATTTGAGTGGCTATACATTCTTCGTAAACACTTGTTTGCAATGCTATTTTTCCTATTTAATTTTTTAAAATTAATAAATAAAATATCTAATTAACAAATTCATAAATAATATGTATAAAATTTTTATTATATATACCTTCATCGTTTTTTACATTTCTCTCTGTTGTTGAACGTTTGGAACTGGTTTGAACTTGGCTCCAATATGACAGACTCTGATCTTGTTTCAATATATTTGCATCTTCGACTCTTTCTATACATTCATTATGAAGATGATTGAGAATTGTTAAAGGATGTAATGTTAATAAAGTTGGCGTTATTGCGTCAATAAATCTTTGAAGGCATTCCAGAACCAAAGGAGTTATCATAATATCAATGTCTCCTTTAAGTTTTATTATAACGGTAGTTCGAGATCCACTTTCATGCTGAACAGTCAATAGTTCTTCTTCATCATTTGGAACGTTATCCACTTCTTCTAATCAATTGAATGTAAAATATATTATTTATTTTATGCATAAATATAATAATAGTTATCACCTTCAGATTGAATTAATGTAGAATTATCCCATAAATATGGATGAGTTGGTGTTTTATTGGAAGAAGAAACTTTAGGTGAAGTATCATTACGATTTATCATTTTTAAGGATGTAAATCCTTCAGTAATGATATCATATTTCGGTATATATCGCCCTCCAATGTACAAAAGTCTTCCATCTTCTGTACGCTGAAATAATGGAGTTGTAAAAGCATCACCACCACTTGGTAATGACGATGTAAGCCAATTATTACAACGTACCTATATGTATACGAATTACATCATTTTTTATAATATGAAAAATATAAAGAAGTATTTCAATTTAAATTACCTGAGTTAAATGACTAACATAACTGGACATCAATAAAGGTGAATCAATAATTGGTTTATTTACTTGCATGTGCAAATTAACTAAAGTCATATCTTCTTGTGATGAAACAGCTGATATAAAACTCGTAGATGAAATAGATTGACTATCTGAAGAATCTTGTAATAATCCATTTTCAATAGTATTGGTTTCTGATTGAAAATTAGATTTCCTGTGAAGCTGAGGACTCTTTCGAGAATTTAATGACTGCGGCTTAGCTCTTTCTAATGTGTGTGCTTTTTCCGGAATATCTTCAGCTGCATGAGACACGTTAGCGGAACTTTCAACAATCGACAAATCCGATAAATACTTCTTTTTTATACATTCATTATGATTTAATATTAAACCAGATCCAACGAGTGAATGTCGTAAACTAGAATTTTGACTACCTCCTAATCCATGACTTGTATCTTCATCCGCAGAATAAAATGCTTCCGAGTGATTTTCCGATGACATAGATACTGTTCTCTGGACCTAAAACAATATTATCGGTATAACGTGATATTATAATGTAATTTCTTCAAGACATTTACAATATTCTCTTTATCGTCTCTTAGCCGTATACTACACATAATTCTAATTAAATATAGTCAATAAAAAAATTGATTACAATAATTTATTAATAACTAAACGAAATAAAAAATGTGCTAATAAAGATACTATGTATTATTTCGAAGGTGACTAATTATTATATCGCTTATAAATTAATTTTTTAATAAATATAATTACCTCTTGAATAAGTTTATCATCTGAATCTGATTGCCCATATAGCGAATACTGAGAATCGGAAACATTCAATATTTCATTATCTCTGAACATTGGTTGAACTGTTTCATTTGGGTCTATTAGATTTCTAGATAAAGTTGATGGGCTAAAATTTTGTTGAAGTGAAACTGTTTCTTGGATATTGAAATAATCGACGGACAATTTTGAATCTGATGCGCTACTTTTTGGTGTACTTTCAATTTCTGGGACGTTCAGAATGGATTTACTTCGTTGTGAATTTAATTTTGAATCAGAATCTAATTTAGGAGGTAAATGTGTAATGGGACTAGCATCGACCAAACGAGCATATGGGACATCTTTCATATTGTTTCCTCTATAACATAATAATATATAAAATAAAAATTATAAGTTAATATTTGTACAAAAAATTTCAGTTATTTTATTTTAACAATCAATTCACTTATGAAAATGATCCAATTTATATAATTTTACTAAAAATGATTAATACTTTTAATACATTGCATTTATTTATTACCATGCAATTATTAATAAATTAAAATACTTAATATTTGAACTGTACCTAACCTGTGATACTTTTTACGTATTTTTAAGTATTTCAATTTCTAGAATCATCTCTATAATTACTCAAAACAAGTATTTTAAGCCAATAAAAAATATGATCAATAAAAATGGTTTTATTTATATTTACAACTAATTCGGTTATACCCTATCATATTAAGTGCTTCAAAAATATTAAAATATTTTAAGCAATTAAAAATATTATAAAATTTTATTCTTTTGGTTTATGAATAAATATATTTAGTTACATTTTAACTTCATCGCTTTTACAGATTATTGAGCAAGCAATTATGCCTAATCAATAGCTTTACTTTTAAGCACAACACCGAATTATATTAAAAATCTAATGAATATTCTATACCGATTAGAAGTATATGAAAAACGTCGGCTAAGAGGTTTCTTATTGTTTCCAGGAAATGGACTTGTTGAAGACACACTTAATTTTGCACTGTCATTCTCATCAACACCAGATGTTTTACTCTGGCTAACGACAGATTTTGATCTTTCGATAAAAATTTTGGAACCATGCATTCTATGCGATAGTCCCACAAATGTAGATGGATATGTATCTTGTAATGTTACATCTTGTAAACTATAAGGTGGTGTATGAAATACTAATTGATCTTCGTGTAAAATCGATTGTCCAAAACCTTTTTCTTTTTCTGGTTCAAAAATTCTAAAATATAATTTTCTTATTAGTAATGTGCATTAATTTAAGGTAAAATTGCAATAAAATTGAATTTTAAATAATACCCGAATTGTATAATTAAAAATATTATATTATTAAATGAAGTATATGCATTGTATATATAATCAAATACCTATAAGCAGCAATATTTATTCCATCTTGTAAGTCATGATAACTTGGCTTAAAGAATCTCGATCCATTTCTATTGTTTCCAAAAAATGCACAACCGCCGATACATCCACATTTTGCTACCTTAGGAGCAGGATCTTGTATCCACAAAAACCATAATCTTTGCGTTTTTTCATCGTGGGTTTTTAAATATTTGTTCTGTACCAAATGTAAATTATGCTCTGGAGTTGGAAGAGAAAGAGCAGCCTCGATTACAATAGGTCCCATTGATACAGAACCAACTTCTAACCAAATATCCAATCCATCGCCTGTTATTTATTATATTTGAATAAATATAAATTATTTTATAATTTTGTTTATTTATTATTTTATAATTTATTACAAAACAAACCTGACAATCTACTACCATTATTATTGTGAGATTTACCACTGGCAGTAGTAGTAGTGTTGCTATTATTTGCAAAATGATCTGCCGCTGACACAAACTGTCGAATTAATACTGTAGGTAATATACCTGTGACTCCTGCTTTTACTTGCTGCCCATGCAAATTACAGGTAGACACACGAATCGGTGAAATCCAAATTTGTGTAGCAGTACCGCTTTCTTGAAGATATAAATCAAGAGAATCTAATGACACTCTTGTCATTCTATATTTTATATCTTCAGAATTAGGGCACCTAAAGGAAAACGATTCATTTATTAATTAATTTTATAACTACATGTTGTAATTTAAATAAGCAACAAACATATAGTGCTTGTCGATGTCGCTATCGGTACACTGCAGAGGTGGAAGTCCATGATGACATTGATTTGGTAGTCCTGGCGATCGAAGACAATTTTCAGCATTCTTAGCAATCAATAAAAATGTCTCTAAGGATGTTATTAAATGATGCATTTGAGGTGATGTGATTTTTCCACTTAACTTTCCAAGTTGAACTTCAATTAGCCAAGCATATTCTAATGTTTCTTGATCCAAGCTTCTACCTTCATTACTAAACATTGCATGTCCTCGGAGTTGTAATGCACTCAACATTAAATGCCCTTGATTTAAATGTTTTTCTTTATTTGATCTCGATACATTATCCGATAGAAGCAAAATTGCCGGAGAAAGTAAAAGTTGCAATTCTGTTTCTCGAAAACCTTTTTTCATTTCAAAACCAAAACGTTCAAGAAGTATCACCGGGCATGGTGGATCATTACTGTTACAATTTTTTAGTAAGTGTGCTTCGATGTCATGCATAGTTATTCCAACGGTTACTTCCACTGGCCGATACTCTCTAGGATCAAATGGCTTAGATTTGATATCATCATCTTCAATTGATGTTTCGAGACTGTTATTTTGAATATCGCGATCCTTATTTTTATCTATCTTACTGTTTGATGAATTAGCTCGTGTTTGATGCATATCTGTAAATGTTTGGTAATCACCAAAAATATTCTCTTTAAGATGTATAAAATGCTTTATAAGAGATCCGTTAAGAAACAGTACGGATGGTCCTATTTCCAATTCAAGGCTAACTTTGTCTGGCTCTAACGTTAGTGGATCAAATTTCTGAGCGCCTTCTTTAGTCCACTGAAGTCCTGGAGACTTTCTACATCGCGGTATCCTCATGGGAGATAGTAAAATTTCTTCCTTTTCTGGCGTAGTAATATTCGCCTGTGGCTTTGGGCCTGACGGTGGACATGGATGATACGTATAATTTATACTTAAAGCCACAATTGGAACAGACCAACAATCTACCCAGCCCAATCCCTTTTGACATATATTTCGCCACTTTTTATTTTGATTAACATTTGACATATGCTTTGAAGTGCCATCTCGGCCTTGAATACGCGCATACTTTTCCAAAGCGATGAGAATATTTCGATTTGTGTTAACTTCGGGTAAATAAAATGCCAGATCTACACTTTCACCTTGTATCCAGAAGCGCAATGGGATGGTAGGTGGTAAAAATTCAATGAATGGTAAATCAAAAGATAAATCAAAAATTTCTCCGCAAAAAGCAATGTGCGCATTTTCTTGATTTTGGGATGAACAATCGACCCAATTAAATTCATTACATATTGTTATAATTTCAAACTCCTTTAACAATAAACTAAATCTCCAAATATAAGGTACAAAGTATAAAATATCGGGTCTGGATTTGTTAGACCAGTCACTGATCATATCTTGGAAAAATTCTTTATGGGAGTAAACTAAATTAGCCGTGGCTTTGCAGCCAGTTAAATTCAGTGTCCATTCCTGATCATCATTCCATATTATAGGATAATGACACTTAATGCCAAACTCTAATGTTTCACTTTCCACTAAACTTCGATATTGAAGACTAGTAGTCGCCTCGAGATGTAATAATTGTCCAGTAATTTTAGTTGTATAACCATTTTGTAGTACTATCCAAGGCATTGTGATTTCCAAGTATGAACCAGGACCAACATTCACATGAACAGCATTTGTTTCCTTATTTTTACTAAATAAAACATCGATTGTAGCTTCGTTAAGCGTTGATAAACGTACATCGAATGATTGAACTTGACGCTTCTCACCAGGTACTGGAGCCTTTGTAACTTTTAATGGCTGATAATCGTTAGGAAAAAAAAATTTAAATAAATGTTCCCTTTGTCTGTCAGCCCATGGCCCGTAACTAAAGTCTGTTCCTTTCCCACACTTTATATCTATTCCCCAAATAGGTGGCATAGCTTCAACCATATCTCCATTCGCTAATCTAATCATTTCTGGGTGTTCGGGAACAACACCTGGTTCATCCATATAATAATAAAGTTCCATATTATTTGAGCTTAAGATTACAAATCCTTCTCCCATATAACGAGGTGGATCATCTACCATTCCAGTATATTTAGGACTTGGAGCCAAAATAACTTTAAAATTTTCAGCTTTACACTTTGTAAAATGCATGAAATGATCGTGGCGTGATACTGCTGGTTTTGTTGAATATACAAAATGAGCTTCCTCCACTGTTATTGATAGCGTAGTAGGAACTAAACAATTACCAAAAACCAATCTTCCCTAAAGACGACAATTAAAAATTTTCATTATTAAATATTTATTAAAATGCACTTTATGTGCATTAATTTTATTTCACTTCATTATTATAAAAATATTAAAATAATATTCTTACACATTTATTTTAATTTTACTTTATTTCATTACTCTATCTAATTTTATACCAATTACAACAATTATGATGTATATAATATACTTATGTATTCATCATTTATATTTCTGTCAGACTATTAAAATTAAAAAAATGTTTTTAACTTACTGTACAAATGTCTAATTTTATAACTGGTATTAAGTCTCTCCATGTTCTAGCTATCACATAAGCTTCCTTCCGCCTAATATTATCAACATGTCGTGATACATCTATAGTAGTTGATTGTTGTCTGTTTTTGTTACATTTTTTCTTCTTAGTCTCTATATCGTGCTCGTCATTGTTACTAGTATGAATTATATCTTCTGAGAAAATTTGTGGTGTAAGGCCAAATGTTTTTTCTAATTGTGCATACATTTGGCACCTATTATAACAATGTAACTCAAAACCATTTAGCATAACAGAAAGGCGGGTATCGGAATGTGACAAATCTATGAAAAAAGAAAAATGAATCCTTTAATTAAACTTGTATTAATTGATCGATAAATCGATTATTAGTAAAGTTATGCAAACCTTCGGAAACATCTTTTGGAACATAACTTCTCCACCATCTGAATATAAGATATCCATCTTGAATTCTTACCGTATAATCTGTTGTAACATAAGCTATATCCCTAAACATCATTTTACCACTAAGTGCACACAACGTAAATGATCCTTTAAAAAAAATTTGTAATCATTATTGACATAATGAAATAATCTTTTCATTGCTAATATACATACCAACTTTAACATATTCATCTCTTCCAATAAACCGATTTAACAATTTTGTCAAAATATATCCAATTACTCGACTATTATAATAAGTTATATAAATAACCCAAGAAATAACTGATACTAAGGAACAAAGTAACCAAATAAAGTTACTATCCATTTTAAGATTTTCAAGGTTGACATGTTCGGAATAATTCCAATATGCTCTGGAAACCCCCATTAAGGATGGAGGCATTGTTGTAAGTATAATGTCTCCCATTTTTTTTAATTATAATTTTTCATAAAATCAAAGCCAATGTCTAGTGTTAACATCATCTAAATTATAATAAGCAATTGTATTGATAAGAATAGAATTACTAAAATATTAATCATTATTCATTTAAAATTGAAACAAAATAAATTAACTTTGGTATAAATATACAAAATATATAAAGATGTTAATATATAAAATAAATAAAAACTTGTATTGCGTAAATCAAAATATTAACTAATTTTGATTATTAAAGGTTTTGAACAGTGATTAAACATTTCTTCTTCACTAATAATTATATTAAGATATCTATAGTTTTATCTACCATTCTGTTGATGACTTAAGAAGCATCTTGTAACTTTTCTAGGTCCTCTCATTTCTTTATTCATGACATAATGTAATTTTTCCTCGATTTTCATGGTGCTTTGTTTATATATATTATATATATTATATATATATATATATATATATATATATATATATATATATATAATATTTTAACAAAATCCAAAAAAATAATAAGATATGGAAACTGTTAACAAACACCAATACTTTTTCAAGTAGTAATACTCCATATTAAATAAAAATGATATAATATAATACACCGAAAAAACATATGACTATAATATTTAGGGTGAATCAAACTCCATAATAAATATCGTGCACACACGCACGCACACACAACGATGAAGAGCATGTGAGCTCATAATTTATATGCACTTTTAAACTTTATATATAAACACACATGTTGAATTCACATAACTATAGATAAATATTAAATCTTCGTTTCTCTAATAATCTATAACCTTTAATTAGATAGCAAAAGCTAAGAGATTTACCTAACTACCTACACAGCTAAAGTATTACAATCCATGTGACAGCCACCTATTTGCATTTGCATTTACATTGGATATAATAGCCAGGCAGGGTTGGGTTCGTTATGCTTTTACTACCTTTTCTCTACCGCGTAATGTCATAAAAGTATCATACCCAGTAAAAAACATAACTAGTAGTATGCTCGTAAATAATTCAATAGCGGGCTGTCAATGTCATTCGAATAACGTATATGTATATATATATATATATATATATATATATATATAACAAGATAAATATTTACATTATTTGATTAGCATAGAGAATAAATATATTGCTTTTGAATGGATATGAAGTATTATATATATGAAGAAAATTTATCATCAATTATTTTATCTCTTATATTATTTTCATTCATTTTGAATAACTTTCATCACAAATTTTATTTTAACACATTAAGCTATTAGTATTAGTATTCCTCGTTTATTAGATTATGTCGAATTTTACTGGTACAGAATATCTCATATACAAAATATTTATAAATCTTTATAAACAAAAGTTTCAACTTGAAATAAACAAATTTTATCATGACAATATTTAATATATTTATATATATGTCAATTGCGTAATAAAAATTATAAAACACTACACTCCTTTACCCATTTGTTTATATTAATGTAAAGAACTTTATTAACATTACTATCAATATTTAATATATCAAGAATCAATCAATATTATATCAACTACATACCATTTGTTTAACAACAAAAATTTCATATAATTTATAATATGATTCCTTACATAATTTTTATAAAAAAGTATACTATACTCATATGTATAGATTTATATATGAAACATCGCATTTTTTAAATATAAATTTAAATATAAATATTACTTATGTTGCAAATTTAAAATTTTATCTGTTATTATTAAATAATTAAAAATGTATTTATATTAAAGTTTTTCAATATATTGTTCCAATAGATAAGTAAGCAATTAATACAAATAAATATATATACATACTTTTGTTCACGTAAAAAGATCTTTCATTTTATACGTAATTATCCGAATTACAATAAAATAATTCTACTTAAGCGTATCTGTTGATTGAAAATATGTAGCAAATAGATTTAAGAAAATTCTATCTTTTCTATTTTTATAGATAAATTTAATTGATAGTTTATATATACAGATAGTTATATAGTTTATTATATATATTTTTAATCATTATTATTATATTAATATTAATGAAGTACTAAAACTTCTCTAACTCTATCTAAATTCAGTAGAATTCATGGATATAAAAAAGAAGTTTATGTATGTTAGAAAAAGGATATATATTTTAAGATATAAGTGTCAACGATAATAATATTGCTTACAATATACATACATCATATCTTCGAGTGAATGTTATTAAAAGAATAAAATAATTCCTATCTTCAAAAATTATTTATCTATATTTTTATTTAGATGTTATTTAAAACATTTTCCATTTATAACAATTATTTCAATAGTTCTAGATAATTTTTAAAATAGGCATTTTTAATACATAATAAAGTTTATTCTGCTGTAAAATACATTAATTAATGATAATTTATCGAAGCCTGATAAAGTAAATTTTAAGTAATTAATAAAATTTATTCATTTATAAAATAAAATTCTCTTGCGCAAAACATATTTTATACATTTCTAAAAAATATATAAAATTTGTTTCCATAGAATTTTTTAATTTAATAAAGTTAATATGACGATACTAGATTTTGTGTATGTTATTTTATTTAATATATTATCAACATTATATAAATTATATTTTTACATCTTATATTTTTTTAATTAGTTAAAATAACACAAAAATATACATAAGAATAAAAAAATTGTATTAAACATTTTTATTAATTTTGAATATTAATAATGTGACTGTAATAATAAAATATAATTAAATTTGTACAGGAAGAACAAATTTTGGCATAAAAATCGTATAGGTAGGCATATATAAAATATATATATATGTATACCGTTAATGTTTATCAATAATTCAGACATTAAGTTAGATAATATAGATATCTGCTTATTAAAAAAAGTTATAGATTATTAAATATTCTTCAATGTATTTAGTTGATATAAATTTTGAGAATGTTATAAACATATGCGCGTGTTATTCTCTTTTGTTAATAGTATTATTATCCAACCTGTAATTTTTGTAATAACATTGTTTTTCGATTAAATTCTAATTTGCCTATAGTGAGAATATATTGTATTAAAATTTTCCTTAAGATTATTTTTATAAACCTTTTTATTTTTAATAATATTCAAAGCTAATTTTATTTAATTAAACTAAAATATACATTTACATATCTCTCATATTGAATTTTCAACAATTTTCAAAGAAATTAGTTATTAATAGAAACTCCGATCATATACATTCAATTTAGTCTACAGCATTTAATAATTAGAGAAAGTATATAATATACAAATATGTAAAGATGAATAAAAAGAAAGAAATTAAATTCATGTACAATCTCCCTCTCCCTTTCTCTCTCTCTCTCTCTCTCTCTCTCTCACCCTCTGTCTCTCTCTTCCTTTCTCTGTTTATCTCCCACCCCTCATCACCCTCTCTCTCTTATTCTTTCTTATACACCTATATTCTACGTGATTTCTATAATTTTAGAATTTTATAATTATTTTTGCTTGGCGAAAGCTTTATGATTCTCACCAATATAATCTCCATTATGTATTGTAATTTCGGACTATTAATTTTCATAAATAATATCTTAAATAATAAATCAATAAAAATATTTAGAAAAAAATATAACTTCAATATATTATGAATTAATGTATTACGAAATAATTACAAATAAACCAAATAAATATTTATATATTTATATATTTATAATTATGTTGATATAATTAAATCTTAGGAAATTAAACATTTTTAATTTACATGACAAATAAAATTTAGCAAATTTTCATCAATAAATAAACTAATTGTTTTAAAGGTTTAAAGATAATGCATATATATATATATATATATATATGTTTGATTAATAGAATTTTGGAAATTTTTAATAATTGAATCTCATAACGTGAAAGCTAAACCTAGTTTAATAAAATTCATAAAAAAAAATACAAAAATTTTAAATTACTCGAAGCTTCATAAAACATTCTTAAAAGTAGCTCTTTATTTTAATGTATTTTAATCGTCTCGAACATATAATATTTGGTAAATACATTTAATAATTTAAAATACAACGATAGAATTTCTTAAAATTAATAAAACAAACTTTTAATTTTTAATTTTAATAATATATAAATTTAATGAAATTTAAATAGTTTTTTTTTCACGACATAATGTTAAATTCAAAATTTCTTACGATTTTATACAATTGACATTTAATTGATATTTTATTTGCTATTGATATGTAATTTTAGATTTGCAAAGTTTTAAGTCACTTTCTATACGTTAGCAATAAACTTAAAATTGTATTAAACCTTTAATAAATAAAAAATACTAAACATTAAATTAATGTAATTAGAAATATATTGAAATATAACATTTAATGAAGATTGTAATAATATAAACACCTTAATAAATTTTAATTGTATAATTTTTTTTAATCATATTTTTTAAAGTAAATTCAAATTAGTAAAAACATTAATATATTAAGGGATTAAAACAAAAATTATCAAGGATTAAACCATTAATAATTAGGGATTTTAAATTTTTAGACGTGTATTAGAAATCGAAGATACAGAATTTTGAAGAAAAAATTTCAATTCACAAAATGTATTTATGTTTCTAATTATTTTATGAGGCTAAGACTTTGTTAATATTAAATATATGCCTTACTCTCGGTTATATTTGGTAAGATGCAATGCATTCTCTTACTTCTCAAATGCAGATTGTATGAAAAGATCTTCTACTATACGGTTTCCACTTGATAAATTACCTAGTTACATTTTATAATACTGTACTTCATCGATTAAGATTGGATTATCTTCTAGATTTAATATATTATACTAAGCACATATTTAAAACAAAATCAATTAATAATATATATATATATATATATATAATTTAATTACATTATATAAAA